GCTGTAAGCGCGTTGGCACCACAGAAACCAAACAAAAATAGGTACCAGTCATGAAGGTCCCTTTGCGAACCGCTGGCGGTAGCTCGCTGGCAAGCAATCCCAAACTCCTAAACTGGAGCTGCTGGGTGAAATGGATACCTGAAGGCCAGAGGTCAGCTGATCTGTTTTCACCCACACAGAAGCAAACGAAAAAACATATGAAGCAGGTAGCCTCTGTCTCAAGCATGGAAGTGGACAGGGCCAGCCCAAGAGGACCGTCTTCCAAAACCTGGTTGGAAAGAGGGTAGCCGACATCACTACTGCCAATCAGGGCCCCTTGGATTACTACTAGGGCCAATCAGGGCCAACTATCCTTGGATCAGAACCTTGGCAGGACCCCTGGTTTTTCTGTTGCAGCGCCCATTTCGGCCGAGACTTTGGTTCCAACATGATGGTTGTACAGGTTTATAAAGGCTTTTATTATAGCCCCAATGTTCAACCAGGTTTTGTCGAACCACATTCGCAAGCGAGATCGATGCCCCGACCCCGCCTACTAAAATTACTATTTGAGTCACAATCAAAACCCGGTGCAAAAATGGTCGACCCAGAACCATGCAAAGAATGAAGGAGGCGGCCGCAACTACTTATGGTTGGCCTCTTACTAACCTTCATCTACCCGGGTTTTGACTGTGCCTCAAATCACTTTTGGGCTCTGCTCAGTTGAGGCCCTCGCCTCGCCGTTGGCCGGGCTACCTGCCTGCGGGGCAGCCCTAGGTGTGCGCAACCCACGGAATGGTCCCCACCGTCTCCTCCAACTGGGTTGATCCCTGAGCCATTTTTCGGCTTTTGACGGCACTAGGGGGAACCACGACCATCTGGCATGTTTGGATTGCCAAAGGATTCAATAGTTGGCGGAAGACATCTCAGGCTGAACTCATTGGGCTCTGGGCGGGATCTGACGGTGTCTTAAGCCCGGGAAGCCCCAAAAAAACCAGGTCGCAGTCTTTCCCAACCAAATATTGCACCATGGCGCCCATATGTCTAGTCACAATACGAGGCTTCCTAACCAAATATTGCACCGGAAAAGCCTCTTGCATGGATATGAAACTGCACTGCTTGATCCTTCAAGGGGACATTGACTCGGACCCTTCAGATACATCGCCCTCAGCATGGGTGACAAAATTCCACAGAGGCGTTTCTGAAAAAGGGGGCGCCGACAAGTGGGGGGGGTGTTTTCTTTTGAAGGTGCCCCTTTTGGATGGATTGAAAGGGAAACCAAAAGAAAATCCACCATTTTGGGGAGTCTCCTTAAAAACGGACACACCCAAATGGTGTTGTCTTCATTCAAGCATGCCGAACACCATTCAAAGGGAAGTCCTCGCATTTGGCACTCACACACACACACACACACACTTACACCGATGGTGTAGCAGTATCATGGAATCGGGATGTGGTATTCAGCATGCCCCAAGAAACAGCACGTGCTGACCACATGTCTGGCGTTGAGTGACCAAACGCGCTGGCCTCAGGTTTCGACCTGTGCTTAGAGCTCCTGAAGGTCCCTCTCCGAGGCCCAAGGCTGGCGGGTGTCTTTTTGTAGCGCCCGCCAAACAATCGATGGGTGTTCCTGTTGTTTTGCTTCTTTTTAAACCAAACCAAACACGTACCCTCAGAAAACGACACGACCCTAATCAAATTTTGCCCAACACCTTGTTTGCGAAAAAAGTTGGTCTCGTTACAACGACTATCATCTCCCAATGGCACATTAGCTCACGCGGCACCATGGTTAGAAGTCTCGCGGCAAACTCCCCAAAGACAAACAGGGATGATTGTAGTTCCCACCCACATAATTATTGCACCGAACGAAAGACCCAGTCATGAAAACTGCAATAGCACTTCCAAACATGAGATCTTCAGCGTATAATATATACTTTTTCATATATGTGTGTTTGTGTGTCCTTCTTTCATGGTACTCTCTTTGTATTGGGCTTTGGGGGGGGTGATTTTAGAGGAGAGCACGAGGGAAACCACCATTTGAAGTTGAAACCGCCATGTTGAGTTCAGCTCGTTGGTGGTTTGGAGATTCAAACCCCATCTTCCAAATCCAAGCAGGAAAGGTACCCCTTGGCGTCCACCGCGCTCCAGGCCGAGCACGAGGGAAGCTGAGGTTTCTGAGGCTCTGGCCGGAGCAGTGGCTGGCGGAGCTTTGGTCACCTGCCCAAAATACTTGGGGCGGGTGGGGTAGGGTGGGGGACGGTGTGGTGTGGGGTGTGGGGAGCCGTGTGTCTTGAAGATGTCGCCAGCAAAATCCGGAGGACCAGTCTAATGGGTTGCACTACTTTAAAGTCCTCAAAGGGTTTCTTTGACTCGTCGGATCCTCTGGATTCTTCCACCGTTGACGTTAGATATTTCCTCTAGTGATAGCTTCCCCTTAAAACCCACAGGGGGAGGCAAAACATAGTCTTCATCAAATGTAAGTAAAGGCAACCAGCACGGCTTGCCGCGGTGCACGAGTCAAGGAGTTGACCTACACAACACAAGACCTCGGTTTCTTCGGGGAAGCCGCCGAAGGAGATGAGCTGTGTACCTCGCCTTGCAAGACTCCAGTCATTCAGCTTCCCTCTGGTTTGGAGCCCGTTAGTTTGGTGGTGTTCCGGAGGGGGTTCCCAAATCTACGCTCAAAAGCCAGGGGCTCAAATCCAAATCCAAACCAATCCGAACCACCAACCAACAATTTCCTCAAGTCTTCTGTTTTCAGCGCTTGGAAGCAAAAGTTCAGGCAACTCAGTTGTTCAGTGACCCTGGAAAAAAAAACGGAACCCTTTTTGGGGAAGACCATTTTTGGTGGGGCAGCCACCAAAAAAAAGGGAAACTGAATCGGTGCCACTGAGCAACTGAGGCAAGCAAAGACGAGCGACCGCCTCTAAAGAACTTGGTCCCAGCCTGGCCAGCTGACTGACCCATGCTCACCTCAAGCCCCGCGCGAGACAAATGAGTTCAGCGCCAAAAGCCTAAAACATCCTAAATGACCGGATGGCTGGTTGAACCACCTGTTTTCAGGGATCCCTTCAAAAGCACACCCCAAACTGGGCATTTTGTGCTTTCCCTCTGAGCGCACAGCAAGGAATTGCGGCCACAGCCGCAGAGATGCGTGTGTGGAGCTACCCTGCTGTCACAAGCCTCTGGTAGCTCTTGTGGTCTGATCCAAAACTCAGACAGGTTTGGTGTGTTTTTTTTCTCTGAGCTGAGGCTTTAAAGGGAAGCCACAAGGAAAACCACAATTTTGCGGGTCCCCCTAAAAAACACACACACGTGAGGAGATTTGTCTCGGTGTACACTTGTGCTCCGAATGCCGGACCGATCTGCGTGATGTCCTGGTCCCGATTTGTCCTTCCCCGACAGCTGGAAGCAGAGGTCGAGCGGGGGTTTCTCTCAATCCAGCTTGAAGCGATTTCTACCAAACTTCTTGAAATGGCTAGTAGCACCATGAGTTGACTGGGCCAGCATTCATTTTGAACATGCAGAAACCAAACTTCTTGAAATGGCCAGAGTTCAGTCGCAACTGAACTGCGTCTCCAAAAACCTCCGTCTCTCTTTGCGTCCCTCTCGCAAGGTGATCACCTATCTAAACCCGCAGTGGGCAAATGTTCTTGGCATTTTTTCCATCCGTCCGTGATGCGTTGAGGTTGACCTTGAAGCAGACTGACAGCAATGCCAGTACCAATGCAATGTTCAAAGCCCCACCTGAGTCCCCAACGGGATCCAACTTTTGATAACCGCCTCTGTGGCTTGGTTGCAGAAATCCGGACCACCCCCCCTCCGCCAAAAGAGCAGCTTTCCTTTTGCATTTCCTTTCGAAGCACAATGTTTGATGGCTTCCCACAGACCATGTGGCAGCTTCTCTGCTGCCTGCAAGCTTGACTGCTCTTCCAGTTAAACCGCACCAACCAAAAACTGACTTTTTAAGTGGCTGGTGACCTTTGAACCAATACCGGGTATATAGTGTAAGAGCAAGCTGAAACAAGGCATGAGGTCCGCAACAATTTGCGCGGCATTAACGAGGAAATCCACCTCTGCCTTTGGCCCCCAAAAACATGATAGAATACTGATAGAACAAGCGAACCTCATCTAACAACAGGAAGGGATCCCAGAGATAAATCCCTGAAAGCACATGGATCCGGTTGAAGCCGCTAAGACCGTTGAAACATGGGTCAAAACCCCGTACCCCCAGTGAACATCCCAATCCCAACTAAAATAGACTAAAATGGGTGGTGCACCCACCTCAAAATGGGATCCCATAATTGGTGTTGACCCACGGCCACATGGCTAAAGCGTACGCCTCCCTGCCGCCGCGGTCCGCCGCTTTTCCCGTCGCGCCGTGCGCGTGAGAAACGAAATGCGGTGCTCAGCTGTAGGTCAGCGAGTAGAAGGGCAAGCCCGCCTGGGTGCGCGCTAGCAAGTCGACGGGTCGCAAGCCCAAGCGATGGCGTTTTGAGAGTTGAGTAGTGATTTGGATTGTGGTGAGTGGTGGTGTGTGTTGGTGGTGTGTGTTGGTGGTGTGTGTTGGATTTGGATTAGTGGTGAGTGGTGGTTTGTATTGGTGGCTTTGATTGGTACTTGGTGGTGATTTGAGGGTTGAACCCTGCCCCCCCCCCCCCCCAAGCCCAAGCAGAGACCCCCACTATCGGCCAAAGTGCATGCAGAAACTCCCCGAGTTTCTTTGAACCGGCTCCAACCCAATGGCGAGGAAGCCTGAGTTGCTTTTTGGGAACAAAAAAAAATGAAAACCAACGAAAGTCCCTGAAATCAAGCATTCCTCCCTAAAAAATGACGCCCTTTGGGGCTCCGAGTCAACCTATGGATCTGCGTAAATCCTACGGGACCAGGTGCAAACTCCTCTTGAGCCAGCGGTTTCATCGAACAGTTTCTTGTGATTCTTGTGGATATCAAGATGCGGGGCCTTCCTCATCCCCATCCATGGAGCAGCTGACCGACAGTCTTGGCACCGGCTTCCGCCTTTTTCATGCCGACTCCCGCGCCAGCTTCGCCGACGCTGCCACCTGTTGGCGGATCACAAAGGCGTCGCCGATCCTGGCGAGGTTGCAGTTGCACGGAGCCCAGAAACTGGGGAAGCCTGAAAAACCCCCGCGAAATGAATGCTCTTCAACCAGAATACGGTACAAGACCAGGTGTTGTTTTGGCAAAAAAATTATGGCACATGTTGAAGATCATTTGATAAAAACCTGCCAAGACTGGCAGAACTGCTCTTGGGGCAGCTAGAAGGAGAAGCCCAGGAGCCCTAATTCCGCATTTCTCCGTGCCAAAAAGGGCCCCACGACATGCCCAAAACCCCTCGACTCCTGGAACCTTCCTAGAGGCCACGCGGGCTTTCGCCCAGGACTTTGGCGCACATTTGACCCCTTTCGGAAGGCTGATGGCACCAGGGCCGAGGTAAACCCTCGCCACTTTCTCAAGCTCTGTAATATATTCCTGAACAAAAAAAGCCAACAACATCACCAGCGTCAGCAGCGCGAATCCTGACTTGTCAGCCTGGGAATGGTCTCATGACTGATGAAGGTCTGGGGGGAGGGGACATAAATCAGGCGACAAGATGCTTGATCAAACCATACCCACCCCATGGAAAACACGGGCGGGCTGTGCCTTGGACACACAAGGGGATCTCTCTAAATGGCTTTCGCCCAGAAGTTGTGGGGTTTGACACATGGCTGTATTGTCAAAATAGAAACCCGAAAGATGACTGGTTTCCTTCTATCTTGGTTTGACAGCTAGAAAGGGTACCTTCATAAAACACACACACCTTCACATGCCCATACCAACCCAATCCAAGCGCCCGGCAGGAATCGCACGAAGTTGTCGCCCCTTAAGGGTCCCGCAGCCTTGGTAGCTCTTGTGGAGAGCATCCTTTTTGTGGATAAATACAATTGGAAACCACATTTGCTTGGACCAAACCCGTGGGACAGGGGGGTTTCTCGGACGTAAAGCGCAAGCGCGGAACCCAACCATAGGTTGCCTCTGCAGACTTGCACGATCCGTAAAAACTCGGGAATTCGGTGTGTCTCATGGGGGCCACCACCATGGCTCAACGGTTTCCTTTTGGTTCCCCTCAACCAACCAGGTATGGGTACCCAAAGAAACGAGCCACTCCCAATCTTAGAAGATCCGGAAAAAAATGTGGCGCCCTTTGGAAAGGCCTTGCTTTGCATGGGACGGTATGGAAAGTCTGAAGCTCACGTGCTCGGGAAGGACTGTCCTACCACTAACATGCGCAGTGTGTGTGTGTGTGTGTGTGTGTGCGACTGTGTAAGACTTGCCCACAAAACTAGGACATGGACGGTACCATGCTACGTGTTTGTTAGAGCGGTCTTGTTGAGAGAGATGTAAACAAAACCAAACCGGGAACACCAACTTACACCGGAGAGCACAAGCTTAATATTTGCTGCCTGTTTTCCTGTGTCATATTTCCCGCATGCTTGGAGACCTGCGTTCACTTCAAACGGCTCGTGCCAGAAATTGATGTCATACCACTAGCTCTTCACTCTGTCGCTTCCACAAAACAACCTCTAGTTGGTGGTTTGGAGCGTGATTCGGTGGTTCAGCAGGGATTTCCCATTCCATCCAAACCACCAGCTCGGGGCAACCTGACTGTCGTCTGCTCCACAGTTCGCTCCAATCGGTGCAGATCTCTTTACTCAGTCCCGGGAGCGCCGTCCTTGCGGGCTGTTTCTGTGTCTATTCAAACAAAGAAGAACTGGGCGGCCCGCAGATCCCCTGCAAAAAGCTTGACTTTGAGTGGGTGAAATGGAAACTACCACTAAACACTAAAACGCTAAACGGCTCAGGAATCGGATGGCTGGGAACCACCAAGAGAAGACCACCACGACCCTACGAACCACCCGCCCCCCCGATCTGCGATCTGCGTTCCATCCGGGAGGCAAAGACGTTGGGCGCTAGGACCTGCAGGCGTTCCAGCTTCCGGCCGCCCATAGCTTCTCACCGAGTCCACCAAACCAAGAGAAAACCGCTTCTGTCGGAAATCAGACCAAGAGAGACCATTTCTTTGTCTTCTTCCTTTCTTTTTTCGTTTTTTTTTTTTTTTGGGGGGGGGGTTAGAGTAAAGTTCAGGTGTGTGTTTTTTCTCATACGCAGAGCTCAGAGCTCTGAAGCGCCAGGGGACGCCCAACGTAACGCCGGAAAGACGATCGGCACACTTTTGGGAGGTGGTCCCATTGAACAAATTCTCGCTCGGGATCGAAGTTTCGGCCTGGGCCGAAACGGGGGATTTGGGTTTGTCCCCGGACCTTCCCAACGTTGGCGAGCAAAAGAATCTAAGAACCATTGCCCTTGCAATCCCCACACTAATATAAAGAGAAAGAAAGACTCCATTGAGTAAACGCATGAACCAAAGACTAGTGAGGCAGCTATATTATTTTCTCCGGGGTTTCAAACTTGACTTAACTGAGCACCTGCCAAAAGTTTGACGTTTAGTGAGTTAAATGGAACTCGCCCCCACTAAACCAACTAACAACCACGCAAAAAACCTAAGGAATCCCGGAACCGGATGGCTCGGAATCGCCAAGCTGATGCTACCAGAAGAAAAAAACACTGCAAAGAGCAAAACTAAACCTCCATTGCCAACTTCTCATGTGTTCTGCTTCTCAAGCAACAAAAACACATGTGTGTTTTCTCCGCCCCCGGTGCAACGAAGCCAAGAAGCCAACCAAAAACACCCCCGAGACCCTTGCACTTAAAACGGCCCAAACCACAAAAAAACACGTCAAACACCCGCCGACACCGCTCCGCACAGCCCCACAGCCCGCTGCCTCTTTGGTGTCCGCATCCGCCAGCTGCAAGGTCTCCTGGTTCACCTCCAGGAACTGCGGGTGGCTGCTGATCTGCCCGTCCTCCCAAAACACCGAACGGACTCGAACGGACTCGCTCGCTCCCTGGTCCGAAGTTGAGCGGAACCCTTGATCCTTTTTTGTATGAGGTTTAAAGTGTTTGGCGGTTGGGTTGCGCTTTTGAAGTGAGCTTCCGTTGGGCGAGGTGATGTTTTCAGGGAAGTATATGGAATCCTGTTGTGGGCATGCTAGGATACGCCTCCAAGCCCCAGGACAAGGAGGCCGCAAGAGCCCTTGTGTCATGTGTCACAAACCCTTGTCCTTTTGCCGCCAAGATCGCATCAGGTCTGAGCTCGGGGATAAATTGTCAATTGGAAAACCTAACAAACCTTCCAAGCCCAAACAAGTTGCCAAAACAGGACACACTTGGAACCAAACAGCCAGAAGCAAAACAACTAAAACAAAAAGAGAACACCACGCACATCCAACCCACCTCCCCCCACCTCACCCCTCACCGGGACCCTCACCCAGAGCCACTCGAATGCCCCCCGACTGCCCCTGGCTCGCTCCGTGCGCGTCACCGCCGCATGCGGCGCGGCTTTCAGCGCCCTCCGCAGGCGCCGCGGGAGGAACCCGAGGTCCGGCAGGGCGCCCAGCAGCAGAGCCACCACCGAGACCTGGCGATGAGTTCGGGGGGGGTGGATGGCTTGGGGTAATCTGGGTGAATCCTGGGTTTTTATTGGTGGGTAAATGGGAAATACCCGTATTTTGCAGGCTGGGTATGTGTAAAATTCGGTGGCTTGGATTTGAATTGTCAAAATATTGTGCATTTAAAAAAGGAAGTGGGTTGGATTCGAAAGAGGTGCTGTTTTTTCGCGCTTTGTGCTCTTTTGCTTTCAGTTTGTTTCTTAGTATGTCCTATTCTTGGCAACTTGTTTGGGCTTGGAGCGTTTCTTAGGTACAGGACCCGCCCAGTTCGTGAGATTGGGCTGGTGACGGGATGATTCCCCCTGTTCTAGAGGCCTTAACTCGGGGTTTCCATCCGACAGCTAACCACGAAGCTCCCGGAGGGAAGCTGAGCCGAGGGCTGGGGGTACTGAACGTGCGCACCCGGAGCTTGGGTCAAACAAATTGGGTCGTTTGGTTAAATTCGAAATGGGTCGCAACCGATCGGCAGATTGGGTCACCTGGAGTTGGGGCTTCTTAGCGATGTTTGCCGTTTGGAGGTGTGGCTTGTCTTAAAAACGGAGGTCCATTTCCCAAAAGGCTGTAGGAGGGTAGGTCTTTTTGTTGGAAGGGAGACGGGTACCTCTTTTTCGGCTGTTTTCTGTTCGCCTTTTTCGCCGAACGTCATGTTGGAAGGGGAGGTTTAAAAGGAAACCGCAACTGGAAACCGCCAATGGCTGTGCCGTATTTTTGGTTACGGTACCTCAAAATAGGGGAAAGGGGGTGGTTGAATGACATGTTGGTCCCTTGGGTTTCTTTTCTTCAGAGCGGTTGTTTTGGGCAAGGGCCACGAAGAGAAAGCCAACCTTGTGAGACAAATGCCTCACTTGGCTGGTCGGTTGCCCTGGTAAATGGAAAGGATTAAATCCTACGGTGCAATTCCTGGTGGTTTAGTTTTGACCCGTACCCAGTTGGGCCCCCCACCTGCTAAACTGCGAGTTGTTCTATTCAGAACATGGTTTTGATGCGACTTTTGCGGATCTACACCATTGGGATATAAAAAAGAGTACCAAAAGAGTGCTAAAAAGAACCAACATGGGGAAGAACAGGTGAAATGCACGGACAGCGCATCCAACTTGTTTTCCAAGAGTCTAGATTCTTACTTGGGTGTTAAGCTAGCGTCTCGAAAATCGGCCAGTTGAAACATGACCATGCCAACTCTGAAGGCAAAACAAAACGCAGCTCCCCCCCAAAAAAAAACAGAAGACGCCACACCAACCGCGCCTCTCCCCAAAAAAAAAACACACACACACACACAAAAAAAAAAGAAAGAAAAGAGAAGGCCCAACCAAAAACGCCTTTTGCCGCCTCAAAACCAAAACGCCGCGCCAAAAAAATGGCGGCGGCTCCAGCCTCAGCGACGGTCTCCTCGCCCGTGGGCGTCTGCAATTTGCAGGTGCCCTCCTCCGTGATCTCCAACAGCTGCGCCTCCGCCTCGGCAACCACCAAAACGGGCCAATATCTCCAACGCTGCATGGCCCAACGCCCGACAAAAGACAAGGGAGACTTAGGTACCTCGGGCCAAGAAAACCTCCATTCCCCCGAGTCCCCGTTCTCTTCATTTGGGTCTGTCTTTAGGGTTCGACCACCAGAAAAAATGGCAAGAGAATCGTTTGTGGGATTCCCCGCAAAAACGCGAGGCTTTCCTTTTGGTTTCCCTTTAAAACCTGTTTAGGACTTGGACCCCGAAAAACGGCAAGGGTGTTTCCTTTGGGTTTCCAGAAAAAGAAGAAGAACCACACACACACACACAACCTTTTTCCAGGGTATCCCCCAACAAAGCGACGAGCCAGCCGTTTGAAGGACCCGCTTTCTTCGCAAGGCGCCAGGGGTCGGTACCGCGGGTCGGAGTCCTTTCGCGCCATGAGCCGCGCCAGCCACTCCTCGTCGCGGTACGTGGAGCTTGTGGAGCCGCCAAACCTCCGGTGCGAACCCAGAGACTTGGCTTGAGGTGTTGCAGCCATGGCAGGTGGAGACAAAAAGACCTGTCTAAATCTAAAGACCTCGCTTCTTTTTCTGGCAACCTCGAAAAGGGTACCACTCAGCATCCATGCAGGCCTATCTGCAAGTCTTCAATAGTTCCAACGCCTGAAATACGAATTAGAACCCCATTCTTCGGGGCCTTCATCATGGTTGTTGTTCTTCGCTCGGTTTAGACCTGTGGAACCGCTTGCCAGAAAATGATAAGTATGCTCCGGAAGGTCTGGCACTTCTCAAATCCGGAGAAGCTGTGAGAACCTCGGGCCCAAGCATGTTCTTCCTCCGAAAAAAGGGGGGGGGGGAAAAAAGAAAGGACAAGCCGGCAAAACCAGAAACTACGCTTTGAAATGATTTTGCATGCAAGCATGTTCAACGTCCCACTGGCCTGAAACATGACCCGGCCAAGCCACATCTTGCCGATCTTCGTCTGCTGCGCGGCGCCCCGGAACCTCGGCTCCCACAATTCCCGGGCGTTTCGCCCAAGCAACACGCAGAAGCCCCGCGCCAAGCTCTTGGCCGGTGCTCGGACAGTTTTTTGGCTGTCCCAAAGCTTTCTGCTCCATCTCTGCACATGAATTGGTTTGGTTTGGAGAAAGGCTTCCTTGAACACCAGCCATTGTTCACCCGTTGCCGGTGTCATTTTGTTTCATGAGAAGCCCCAACTTTTTTGGCGGCATGCAGGTTCCACCCGAATGGCAACCAAGGGGACCCAATTTGGATGATGAATCTCCTGAACGGTAAATAATGGTGGTTATATATTATCCCCTGTTGACCCCGGATTCATCAAACCCTGTTTATTTCATCTGGGGCTGGAGGCCCTTGAAGAGTGATGGGAAAAACACACTAAAACCAAGGCACCCCATATTAATAAACTGGGGCTTATTGATCCAAGGTTCCCACTATGTACAATGTTTGCAGCTTAAACAAGAGATGATACGGTTGTCCCATTTAGGAGGAAGTTCCTCCAAATTTGTCCGCCAGGTTGTGATTGAAAAGGTTCCCTAAACGCAGATGCCGCAAAAAGCGGGTGGGCTCTGCAGGCTCCATGATTCATCTGAGAATACAGGTACCCCATGACGGACCATATTTCCAATGAAAACGGCATCATCCCTACCAAGGAAACTCGCCTTGAATGGGCCTGCATTCTCAAAGTCTTGTCCTCTGGATACCCTGGTCATGTTGACGGCGGAGATAACACTCAACGGAGTCCCTCTGCAGATGCCAAGGTGGGCGGAACGCCTTGAGTGGACCAACAAGCTTCTGTCTAGAACACCAAGAAGGAAGCTCAGCCCTCGCAAGCCGAGAGCCGAGCGCCGAGCCGAGCCGCACGTGGGTCACCTGCACCTTCCGCCCGGCGGCACCTGCTGCCGCACCGGGGCCGGTGAGGACGTGCAAAATGGCGTCCGCGGCGCTCAGGCCTGCGCCTGAGCCACCCAACAGGCAGATACCCAGATACTGCCATTTGCCTAAGCTCCCTGGAAAAAAAAGAAAATATGTCCAGTAGTGATAGATGTCCTTTTTAACCAACAGGGGAAAATAAAGAATAGTCTTAAGCAAATGGAAGGATAGGCGATAAGGGGCGGTTTAACCGGCTTGCTTTCAGGAAACCCGGTTCCAGGACGTTCCAGGGGGCTGCTAGAAATACCACCTGAGCTGCTTGTGCAATCGTTTCTTGTGAATCACCTTGCTTTGTTTCTAGTAAGATGGGTGCAATGATGGAGGGTCCCTGTTTGACCCTCAAATCTTGGTGTGTTTTCACAGAGCTAGGTTCATAGTCCACTTTTTTGGGAAGATAAAGGGACCCGCAACTCAGTACTCGTTCTGAGTAGGGAATGAGTTAGAAGGATCCAAAATAATCAAGGATTTTCATCCATCTCAGTCTAGAAGCCAAGATAATGCCAGTGGTTGATCTGTTTTCGGGGAACCCCGAAACGGTGGTTTTACTTTTAGCATTTCCCTTTGAAGCCACAAAAAAATGGGTACCAACTCAAAGGACGACGAGCAGTCTGAAACGTGAACGCCGCTCGTTCACTTTGATTGAAGTCCAACTGCATCCAGCATCCAAAAAAAACTGTCCGAGTCGAGTCTGTTGCTCAGGGACTAGACCACATAGGTTTGGATATGGGTATGACTTTGAATTGGCCTTGCCGGTTGGAGATTTGCCTGGCAGGTCGATGTAGTCAACAGTCAACAAGTGCAAATGTGGTGTTGATTGCCGAGCAACTAAACCCATTTAAGCATGAACTTGATCTCTTGAAAAGATTGCCACGATTTTGCTATCTCCGTTCTGAAAACGAAGGCCGAAAGGGTGACTTGTCATCAGCCTGAATTCCCTGGCCACACGCGGGGAAAAATTGACGTCTGCGCCGTTTTGCATTGTCGCTTCAAAACGTGGCTATGGGGTTTCGGTCGCAAACGCTATGAAGCAGCTGCCCAAACTATGTTCCCCCCAAAGACCCCAAAGGTCCCCCCCAAAAAAAAACAAGCGGCGCCTACCACCAGCAAATGCCCGATCTTCTCCATAAGTGCCTTGATGGCAGCGATTGGGGGGCTGAAGGTGCGAATCGTGGCACTGAAAGACCTAAAAATCCAGGGGTTGATTCCGCTTTCTTGTCAACCATCGTTCTTTCTTCAAAAAGCAGCCGCTTATCCCTGAGTTTGTGGCAGTTTGCTAGAAAGAAGGATTCCTGGAAAGAATGGCGAAGGCACCGCGAGAAAAAGGTGAAACATGGGGGTGAATCTTAGTTAGGGAACCGAAATGATGAACATCATTTTGGTGGGAATGTCCATGTCCACCAATCACTTTTGAGGTGGTTCCAACCTGAACAACTGAGTAATGTAGTTCGCCACATCCAAACATCGAATTCCCAAGATCCAACAAATTGGCTCCGTACTTTCTTGTAGACGAGGGGTTAGTCAAGTGGTTGGCAGCCGGGAGAGGAAGCAAATGGAAAAAAGTGACAATTTTCTACAAACGGCCCCAACTCAAGTCTAGCGAAATATGGTGATCCGCAACTGGAACTCTGGTTGGGATGGTTTCACAGACCCAAGAAGGATGCCCAAAAGCATATCGTACAAATCCAACACTGGCAACGCGAACCGGGTCTCAAGGACCCTGATCCTGGTTCCCCGGTTGTCTTTTCTTTAAGGGACCCCCCAAAATGGGACGGTTTCCTCTTGGTTCCCCTTCAAACACCAACCAAAGCAGGGGTACCCCCAAAAAATGACACACCCACATAGATGTGTCTCAACATAGTATCCCCCAAGTTGGTGTCCTTCTGGTGCTTGCCTTCAAATACAACCTAAAAAGGGGTCCGAAATCCATTTCGAGAACCTCCCCATATGGCCATGGGTCAAAACCCAAATCGCACCCCCAGTGAACATCTGATTCAATCCAACCACTACAACAAAGCCTAAGATGGGTGGTGAATTCACCTACCAACCAAAATGGTCCCATTGGTTTTGACAACCACAGCCATGTCACTAGGCAACACTAAAATGGGTGGTGAATTCACCCACCAAAATTTTGAGAAACTCCCCAAGGTCGAACAGCACCATCCGCAAACCGAATTGTTACAGGCCCCGAGGCCCCGCGCCGGCGTGTGGATGGGGGGCCGGTGGGTAACAAAGGGGAGCTCCTCGCACGGAGAGCTGCCGAGAGGCGCTGAGAGGAGCCTAACTGTTTCCCTCCTAAATGGGGCAGAAGACCCCTCTAAGGCAGTGGAACCCATCTGTTTCGAACCAAACTGACCGAAAAGCACACCTCTGTACCCGGTCCACTAAGACGGAACCTAACTGAGGTCTTGGAAGACGATTTCTCTTTAAAAGGGGGGGGCATTTCTCTCTGGTGGGTTCCTTGTTACTGATACTGGACAGAAGGGTATGAGCCATTGGCAAAACATATTGGCAAAACATATTTGTGTTCCCCGAAACATGGAGAAATTGGAGTATAACGAAACGGCTTTAGTGGTTGGAATGTAGGGAATGTCCTCCATGTCCTCCCCAAACCCACGATAGACTCCCAGCTTACTTGCTGGTTCTCAGCAGGGAATGAGGGAATGACCCCTATTCACCATCCCCCACGGTTTCCTTGAAGTGAATCCCCAAACGGTTCATTCCCAAAACCCTGGGTCGTTCCCGAGTGAGCACCAGCAAGCTTCGAGGGGGACGTCAGGTTGATTGATCTGTGGATCTTGTTTCACCTGGGGCTCCTAGTGGGCGGCAACTGGTTTGGTGGATGTCGACGCAGGGAGCACCTTCAAACTGCGTTTGAAATTCGCAGTTTCACCAATCCAAATCACCACCAGGTGGCCTTTCCCTATCGCCCCGGTGCCCCAAAACCGAGCGCCCGAGCCACGCGCGAGCCACGCGCGAGCCCCGCGCGAGCCCCGCGCCTCCCCGAAAATCTCCAGGCGCCGGGGCGTCGCGAAGCTGCCGCAGGCCAGCGCCACTGCGCGCGCCTGGCCAGTGCTCGGTGCTCGGTCTCTCCGTGGCCTGGGGGGGGGCTTGTGGTATTGCGGGTTTGGTTTGGGGCAGTAGGGCCAAAACGGATATAGTCATATATATAGTTGTATAACAATTAGTCATCATTTCTTGTGCGTAGCTCAAATGCCGTAACCCCCAAATGTCCTGATGGCTGCCATGGCTCGATTGTCCTGATGGCTGCCATGGCTCGATTGTGTTTCGAGCGCAGGCGCGCGGCCGCCCTTTTCGCCACGTCGGATGGCCCGTCTCATCCTCCGCTTCGCGCAGGAGGGTGGCCACCTCGTCGCACACCTCCGCGGACGCGGCCACCAGACTCCGCGCCGCGTCCTCGCGCGGGGTTGTGGTCCACCGGCTCTTCCCAAAGGACCTGGAAATACAAAGCACAGAGAAGTGCTTCTAGTCTTGCCCACGAGGCAGCACTGATCTAGGTCCAATGACACCCCCATTGGAGAAGCTTATAGACTGAAATTGGTTGCTTGGGGTGGTGGCGAAAAGCGGCTTTCGGCGGCGGTGTGTGTTTGGGGGCACCCTCTTTCCAACGATGGAAGTGGACAGGGGAATTGCTTCTCCAAAAGGAAAGCAACCTTCCCAAGCACCCCCCCAACTACCGTTTTCATTTTTCCGTGCTTCCCTTTTTGTAGCAACTATGAAGTGGCCAGGAGAATCGCTTCCCCAAAAGAAACGCTTTTGTCTTCCCAGCACCCCCAGCTACCGTTTTCCTCTTTTCGTGCCTGCTTACCCTTTTTGCAACAACCATGGAAATGGACAGGTCACTCGCTTCCCCAAAAGGAAAGGCTTTCGTCTTCCAAAACCCCTTCTGTCAGCTTCTACGTATTCTTGTTGGTGCTCAGGGAATGAGGCAATGAACCTGCGGACACCCTTCAAGGAAACGGATGGTTTACTAGGGGTCATTCCATTTCTCAATCCTTACTGAGCCCCAGCTTCAATTCTTGGAGGGTGGCCCGGCTGGAAATCGCCCGCTCCAAAGACCCGTGCTGCGCGGCCACGCGAAGAGGCGTGGCGCCGTCAGCGCCCGGCTTCTCCTTTCGCATGCTGCTTCGGCCCAGCCGAGGTTGAAATGCAACCAGGAACACCAACGGCTCCCCAGGACGTCCTGACGCCCTGGGTCCCCCCAAACCCTATTATTTGAGGGCGTGGGGGGGGAGGCCAGCATATTTGGGGATTGGGGAACGATGTTTGGGTCATTGCTAAAAGTAGGGAATGAGCTCCCATTCGACCCCAGAATAGTTGTCCCTTGTTTGAGACCAAAATGGCAAACATGTGTCTTGGACTTCTTCTGGCCAATCCAGTCAGGAAGTGAGACCACCCGTTCCCCCTACTAAATATGACCCCCCCCCCAATGATACATGTTCCTGGCCGGGAAAAGCACACACATTGATAGGGCACATTCACTCGGGAAGGGATGGACCTCTACCAAAGCCGAAGGGCGCGAAATTGGTCAACACTTTTCCCAGGATGTTGGCTGCCCAAAAAGTGTCTGAAGTCCAGGAAATTGGGAAGTGAGTTACCGCTCACCATTTCCGTGGAGAACAAATGCAGGCGGTCTGAGAGCATCACTGGCAATATTGGTCTAGAGGTTTAGGGAGGCTGAGTTCTTCGCTTGAGTTTGGCGAAAATGGTCATAAACCACCGCAGGGACAAACTGGCAGGCAACTATGGGGGAAACCACGACCATGGCCCACACAAGGAGTGGTTTTTAACTTTGGCACAGATGAGCAGCGGACACTATGATTGGCAGCTTGCTGTTCATGAGAGGATATGAAAAACCGAAGAAACTCCGGGGCCTCGGGCCCCACTTGGTGACCTTTAAGCATTTGGTCCGTGGCTTCATGGGGGCTCCAACACCCATGAGTTTCAAAAGGACCTTTCTGGACCACGAACGTGGGTTTCGCAAAAGGGAGCCAATTCTTCAGAAACCATCCGAAAGAAAAAAGAAGCTAATGTCATTCTTAAGAATTCAAAAGAGAAGAACAACTAGTTTGAGAGAAACACCCAACTAAGGACATGTTCGAGCGTTTGTCGCGAGTTCCGTTGGGTGGGTTCGGCTCGGTCCAGTTGGGCCCTCCGCTCAATGAGCAACTCCGCCATGGGCGCGTGGTTCCGCAGAGCAGCGATGAACAAGGCCGTGGCGCCGTGCTGGCCCACTTTGTCCCTGAGGCCCGTCCGGGTGGCTCGCTCACTCAACCCCCCAAAAGTTTTGGGGGTCCGGGGTCCCCCCAAAAAAATATGAGACACGCCAAAAATGCGTTGCTTTTCCCGGCAACGCGGACCGTTTTCTGGTTGGCCAACTAGAAGGAAACCCACCATTTTGGTTGGTGTCAGAGATGTGCGAAGGCCAAGCCGTTTGAGGCAGGAAGATACCTGGGCCACCTCAGGACAACCAGTAAAAACTCAACCAGTTGGCGGGGATTCCCGCATGTTGGTGTCAAAAAAGGGAAACAACGTGCCTTTCAATGTTGAGTCAACCTGAAAAGGGCGCAGATCCATGAAATGTCCAGGTTTGCATCGTTTGGGAGGCCCATGGTCGGTCTAGGCCCGTTGATTTACCTCCTGAGATGTCGGGCAGGGTTTGAGGCCCATGAAACACGAAGCGGTTGGTCTACTTACCGGCAAAGGGAAGCCACGCAGCAAGCTTGTTTTGGGGTGGTCCCGTAAATCTTGGAGGTCTGGATCATAACGCATGGATCTCGAACGGGCTCCCCGATACCCGAGCTTTCCCTTGGCGTCCCTTTTGGATATCCGGGATGGGTCTCACCCATGTTCTTGGGGTTGATTCCCAATTCTTTTCCACCATCGTTCTTTTCAAAAGCCAGCTGTTTCCCTGGGATTTTGATGGTTTCCTGAAAAGAAGGATCCCTGGAAAGAATGGGGAAGGTACCCCTAGACATGTGCTGAAACAACTACCCCCACCCCCGCCCCTTGCTATCCGGGCGCAGCTCTGCGTTCGCGTCGGCCAGGTATCGCAGCACCGGCAGCTGCCCGCTCTGCGCTGCCACCACCAAAGGCGTGGCGCCGTCCTGCGTGAGGCAGACTCCTTACAAAGGGGTTCCCACTCACTTGGGTATGCATCCAAATAGGGGAATCTGAGAAATGCCTGGTGTCCTGCCCTTTCTCGGTCCCTTTAAACAGGCCTTTAAAATAGGCCCAGGTTCCCCAACACCAACCCCTTCTGAACCCTTCTGGAACCCAGGCACCTGGAGCCGGTCCGAACCACTCCGGATCCTGGAGAGTCTCTGCCCCATAGCTTTCAGCTGGGAAAAAGATGGTCAGGGTTGAAATAGTGTCGTGTTCGTCTTGAGTCTGCCGTTGTTGACACTCTGGATACTTCTTATTGTTCATTTGTAATTGCGGTTTCGCAGAGACCCCAGAGCTTTCTGCTCTGTACTGTTGGGGAAAACCATGGTGTCTTGTTGGCCTCCCTTCACAAACGCCCACGGGGAACCTCTGACGTGACACAGTCCTGGGCCGGGCAGTTCAGGTCCGCGGCTGCCTGCACCAACAGCTGGCACAGCCCGAGGTCGCCCTCCTGGCGGGGGTTGATGTCTGTCGCGCCGGCGAGTCGCGCCGTACATGTTGATCTTGGCTCAACGGACCCCCAGATGCCCAGTGGCCTCTTCTGACCCATCGGCGATCCAATGCAATGCTCCAGCTGTATGCGTGGCCGGGGCCCAGATGCCCAGTGGATTTTCCATGGGGAAAAAAACCGGCATCCAATCTTTTGGTTGGTTGACTGTGCAGGGTCACCCTTCCAAAACAAAAAAGGAAAAAAGGGCACCACTGGGCAACTGGGGACTGGTCTACTTAGCTGAATCATGATAGAAGACTTGGCTCAAACATGTTTATCTTACCAGTCCATGTTTATAATGGCTCGATCATGTTTATCTTACCACGAATGAACCTTGCTGCTTGTGGGGAGTTACCTTTGGCGGCCGCTTTTCACAGAAACCAAAAGGCAACAAACACCTAGATTGACAGAAACCAAATCTGTCGCCATGCAGGAAGCCGGTTTTCTAGCCCCAAGCTTCAATGTTGCCTTTTGGTTCATCAGAGGTTGGAAAGTCGGGGGGGGGGGGGAAAGCAGCTGGGTCCCCAAGCAAATCTAATGCCAGATCTCCAATGGGCAGGGTCATTCGCCTTGCCAAACGTTGCAAACAATTGGAGGAAATCCCTTCAACTCGCTCGTTCTCAGCAGGGAATGGGACCTACAAACTATTTGTTGTGGTTTCCTTTAAGGGAATCCCCAAGCGGTGCATTCCCAACAACTAATGGACAAGGGGGAAACCAAAAGGTTAAAGGTCTTGGGCAAGTGACTTAGTGAACATCTAGAATCCAGGCAAATTACTGTACACATGAAACAACCCAAGTAAAACAAACAAATCTTATCCTTTGTTAGGTTGATCGCTTCTTCCTGCAATAGGTTCACCCCTAGGAAGCCTCCCGATAGAGCTCGGGAGTCAAGCCCATGAAGACAATCCGCTTCTTTGACTGGTTTTAACGGGAAAGTAAACGGAACACTACTTTCGGATCTCCCGCCATGCCGTCCTGGGCTGCTTTTAACCTCGGGATCGGTCGCTCCATCTGGCCCGCTGTTTCTTTAGACCCGCTCGATGCACGCATGGTCAAGAGAGCATGGTCAAGAGACTCGTACAGAAACTCCTTTAAGCCTTCACAGTGTGCTTCACATGTGGGAAATGGTTGCCGCTTTTTAGACGACATTGCGGCAGGTTTCGGCAGGGACTCACTAAATCGTCCACGACTGTGCCTCGGATGAGTGATGAGCAATGCCGCTTGGAACAGGTTTAGGCTTCAGCATTGACCAAGGATATGGCAAGAAGCCCACGCCGAGCTTTCTGCTTCTGGTGAAGGGCTCTTGAAAGGAGGTGCTTTTTCTAGGGGCAACGTCCCCATTCTTTCCAAGGATCCTTCTTTTCAGAAGACCATCGCTGGTCACCCAAGGATTCGGTTTGAGGCTATCTGGTCACATGGCCCTCCCTGTGGACATACCCGTGCAGAGTTCGACGGTTGGACAGTGGTCGCCCCTTTTGGAACTCGTCGGATCTTGGTGGTCCTTTGCTGCCAGACCCCCCCCTCCCGGAGTGGTTTCCCTTTGGCTTCCCTTTCAAGCAAGCCTGGGTTTTGGGATAACGAAAAACAAGCCTGACCACAGGAACACCTCTCTGCGAACCCGTGGCTGGCCTCAACTACCCGAAAACTCCAAATAATGTCAGCCACGCCCATTTTGCGGTGGTTGCAGATTTGAATGACTGTGCGATGTTGTTTGTTCGACTCTCCCTTTTGAACATGAGAACCATCCCCCCCTTCTCACGCCCAGAGGCGAAGAAGAAACAAAAAACCGCCGAGGAGCAGCGGCGTTTCTCCGTGGGGCCCGGGTTTGTTGACCTCGGCCTTGAGGGCGCAAAGGACCTCCACTGTGTCCTGGAGCTGAGAGGGAAACGGACGTCCCATGGAGTCAGAAGTGGTCTGTGCGTGTCGATTTCTGTGTGTTTTACGCGAATGTTTGGGGCGCTTACAGGGAAACCAAAGGAAAACCCACCTTTTTCCATGTGTGCAAGGTCCCATCCCGAGTGTTCTCCCGGACAGGAACTCGGCAGGCTCGGCCCCGGGATATACAGTCACGATAAAAACCCGGTAATAACCTGGTCTGCCCAAATCGATGTACAGACTCCAAAAGGCAAATGGGCAGGAATTGTCCCAAACCTTCCCCTTTTTTCCCAGGTATCGAGTGTGGCGCCATTGAAATTTCTGCCCGAGGGAAATCATCGGCGAACGGAGGAAAAACTGGTCCTAATCCCCTAAGAAAGGCCCTTTTTGTCCTTTGCACCCTGCAACCCCTTCCAATGGAGGGCCCCCAACTCGGGGTTGGGTTCGCAAGACTGGTTAGGCCTGGGCCATGGTACCCCCAACAAAATGGCGCAGGTGTCCTTTTGGCTTCCCTTCACGGCCAAAATAGAGGTATCCTCGCAAGAACAGACACCCATCTTGCTTCAAGCATGATTGAACCAGTTGTGGACACCCCCCCCCCCCCCCCCGCACTCTTCAGGGGATCCCATTTGGCAACAACGGGAGCCAAAATTTGGCAAATTTGCCAACAAACCCAGGAAACGAAACCTTCCGCACAAGGCCAAGGCGCGGTTTCGCAGTTGACAGGGAGGAACCCAACGAGAAGAAAGCAAATGGCCAAAAGAACTCGAACAGCCACGCGCAGGTGCTTCTCTGCTCCGGGCAAAAAAAGCGACTTTAAAACTGCGCAAGCACGAGGAGTGCAACACAGAGTGCAGTTAGAACAGCCGAGAAGAGAGAGAGAGAGAGAGAGAGAGAGAGAGAGAGAGAGAGAGAGAGAGGGAGAGCGAGAGGGAGAGGGAGAGGGAGAGGGAGAGGGAGAGGGAGCGGAGCGAAGACTGTGCGAGAGCGGAGCCAATGGGAAGAAGAGAGAGCAGAGAGAGCGGAGAAAAGAATCTGGAAGAAGAGCGAAATAGGCCAATGCCGGCGGGGTTTTGTGTGACTGAAGAAAAGTCATAGGCCAACCTTTGGACGGCGAGCGCAAAAAATCATATTGTGGGTGTGTTGTTTTTGAGGGTACCCCTTTTTGATCGGTTTTGAAGGGAAACCAACAAGGAACACCACTCATTTTGGGGGCGCAGGGGGGGGGGGGGGGCCAAAAAAAGAACACACCCATATCCCACTTGCTACAGCAAGAGTGACTCCAGCCAGCAGCCTTCGCGATTGCCTTTTCCGGTAGTTTTAAGCATCACCTTTGGGCTGCGAATTGGAGGTGTTGGAGATGCGTGTCCTCTTGGTGCAACCCCACGCCAGCCCCCCCCCCCCCCCCCCCCGGGGATCCCATGGATTCGACGCACAAAGGGCCTGAGGCTTCCAACCAACGAGCGGGTGGGTTGGCAGGAGGAAACGTCGGTCCCTCAAACCCAGGGACAAGTCTCCAATTCGAACATTCCTGGTCTCTTAAGCGTCATTCCTTGTTCCCACCCAGACCTCGCCTTCGCCCCAAGGACACGTCTGAGCTTAGGAAGCATTCAGCCAAGATTTTGAGCATGCTCCACCTCTTTCTTAACTCACAATATTCAGACAGAGCATGAACCAGATACTGCTCACCACCCAACTTGCAATGTTGATGCCTGAGTCTGAGTCTGTCTCCCACCCCCCACCCCGCTCCAAAACACAAAAACACGTAAACACATGGGTGACTTCCTCTTCTGCTTCCACCCCAAAGAAAAAAAACCGAGGGAACCCCCAAAACCGCACACCAAACCACCCTGCACGGCGCCTGGCGCCCCATATGCACCGCCATGAGCAGAGGGGTCAGCCCGTTCTGCCCCACCGCATCCATGTCCTCCGACGCCAACTCCAGGCAGCCGCAACGAAGAACCCCCGGGTTCCGCATGTGAGTCATAATCAAAACCGATCGGTACGAAAATGGGCTGCCCAGAACCATGTAAAGACTTGACAAGGAGGTTGCACCCATTCATGGTTGGGAATTCCCCTTACCAATCTTCGTCTACCCGGGTTTTGAGTGTTCCTCATGTTTGGACACGGTTTGCGTACATTTAAGTCATCCGAAAAATGAAACGGACATGCGTTCATTTGACGGCACCCAAACCGCAAGCTCTTTGAGAAAACGGACATCATGCACACAGGAACGGATGAAGAATCTGCCTGTGTCTAGCACTCCTTGCAGTTTTTAAGACACATGTGCGCTTAAAACGCAGGGAGCGCTTGCTCTGGTCAGTTTACCCAGCCCGGGCTTCGATGCCGAAACTCCTAGTCTTGCAGCTGGAATCCATTTGCATGTCAAAATCAAACCAGCAGGTGTTAGTCCTTTCCAGTTACTAGGGCAAGTCATTTTCGGGTTACCCTGGGATTGACCTACACTCATGTTGTTCAACAAAAATGAGCTCAAAGGACAGGACGCTTGAAATATGAAATGCACCCTCCCTGCGATTTTCTTTTGGGCGGTGTGTTTTGGCAGCAGGTTCACCATCTGGCCTATCCAACCGCTCTGTAGATTGTAAAATGTGTAAAAAAAAATAGGTACAAGGGGGATGCGTACCCCCCACTTGGACCACCCCGTCTTGGGAATCCATAAGTAGATGGAGTGGGGTTGCAAGGTTGAGGATCGCTACCTGTACAACATACGCCTTGAACAAACAGAGACTGACGCATGTCATCATTGAACCCGGAAATGGTGGACATCATTTGAGTGGTGTCGGCCATCCAGTTTGGAGGGCTTCGATTTTTTGAGAGCACATATGTGGGTCTTTCTTGGGGGTTGAACTCCTGATTAATTTCCTTTGGACAACGCAGGCCACTGTGCCTATCAACCTTGGGACGAAGCACCAACCTAGATTTGTCACCGTTGAGACCGACCCTCGTGTCTCTCTCCAGACGGTGACAGTGTCGAAGATGTTGCATAGCTTTCAGGACTCGCTGCAGCACTTGGGAAAAAAATTGCAGGTGCCTTTGTGGCCGGCTAAGACATGACCTGAAAAGAGGGTGCCAAACATAGATTTCGGTGTTACCAAACTCAAATAGGGGTACCCAACAAGAAAAGAAAGAACCACACCCACTTCGTAAAACTACGTCCATTTCTGCAACGCAAATTGGCTCGGAAGAAACCCGCCACTTCGACCGGTCGACGACCGGTCCGCCCGGGCTTCTATGAGGAAGCGGACCATGTCCGCCTCGGCTCGACGGATGCGCGGATTACACGACCATCATGGGTGACCTTTTGGAAAAATAGTTGGGGTTCCTGATAAATGGGGCATAAAACCCATCTAAACTAGTGAAACCATCTATTTCCAACCAAACTAAGCTAACAAGGACACATATGATAAACATGGCAAATTCCGCCATGTTTTCAATTGTCACTGATTTCCCGCATATTGGAACGGCACGGCACACATTCTAGAGAATCATGTCCCTTGTAAGGAAATGAACTATTTTCATCTGACTATTGGAGGTCTCCAATCCGAAGTCGACATGACCAAAATCTGAAAGAAGGGATTTGGCTCATGGCACAAGCACGCACACGCACACAAGCACAGACACAAACAAACCGACAAACCGACAAACCGACAAACCGACAAACAAACAAACAAACAAACAAACAAGCAAGCAAACAAGCAAACAAGCAAGCAAACGAACAAACAAACAGGGAAACAAACAGAGAAACAGGCACACAGACAAACAGACAAACAGACAAGCAGACAAACAAGCAAACAGCCAGACAAACAAACGAACAAACAAACGTGCACACACACACACACACATACATGTACACACGTACACACGTACACACGCGCACACACACGCACACACGCAAACACACGCGCACACACACACACACACACACGCACACACACACACACGCACACACACGCACACACGCGCACACCCGCGCACACACACACACACACACATACACACACATGAAGCCGCATGAGGACGCATCGCAAGGAATGTCTGCAGATCCTGGCAGTAGCCTTGCTTTTGTGTTGTGGGCACCCCGCTTCAGCGAAAGGAAGTGACAAGATTCAGGTCAGACCGTTCGCGCTCATTGACTTTCATCGGGCATATAAGTGCTTCTAGGAGCCTTTCAGCGTGCTCTTTCTTTTGTGCGAGGTACCTTGGTTTGGTGTTTTTAAGGATGGCCAAAAGGATTTTAGGGAAAACCCAGGACTTCGGGGGTCCCCTAAAAATCCGACAGCCCCCTTTACAGTGGCCGTCTAAATTCCCTGAGACGTCCACCGTGAGCCCAAGGATTAGTTTGGACCTGGCACACGAGTGGCTTCGAAGTTCGCCAAAACAACTCTGTCCCAAGCTTCCAGAGGTCACTGGATTAGGTTGCAACTTGCTGGTGTCCATTGAAACCATCGCCATGAGAGCCCTCCAAAAGGGGGAGAGAAAAAAGGGAAACGGGAAGGAACCCTGTCAAACCCGGTTTCTCCCTTGGTCTACTTTTGGTCTACTGCGACCTATCTTCAGATTCGAAGTCCTCGAAGCCTTGCTCTTCCTGGCCTGGCCATACTTGGCCGCAATGAAGAGCGGGGTGGCGCCGTGGGAATCGGCTTTGTCCTTGTCAGCACCTGACGCCAAATCTCCGGCTCCAAATCTCCGGCCCAGGAAGAGTGGCCGGGACATCTTTGAACTTTGTGTGGGTGCAACCTCCAAAATCGTCAAAATGGGTATGTCTCAAAGCCCCAACATGGGTGAAACTTTCCTTTTGATTTCCCTTTACACACCCAAAAGGAGCACCCTCAAACAAAAAAAGCACACCCGTTCCTTTGAAATCCCAACACCAGGGATGGACTTCTACCGTATCGGCCGCCCGCAAGGCTTTGGACGACTCTATGCTTTGGAATGGACCTGATACATCTGGTTGACCTATAAAAGGTGGCTTCTGCGAAGTGGGTCTTCCCCAGGACGAGTTTAGCACGGGGATTCCCTTGGTATCACAGAAATCAGACACCTCGCGCAAACACGCGAAAGCTTCAGCCTCAAGGAAAGTGGGAGAGTTGCGTCCCACGGGGAATCCCGCGCACTTCGTGCTTCCTCCAAATTCGAGAGAGAGAATGAAGCAAAGGGGGTAAAAAAGGAACACTTTCACCAGCAAGTCCCCGCAGCTTCTTCGCGCATGGTTTGTATCGTGCCAGGTCGTTGCACTCCTATCAACATGGAACCTGAGAGGTCCTTTTTTGGCATTTTTGGAGTTGGTGCCGCCCAAGAAAGTAGAACCACCAGCTAGAACAGCCAATGGGAATGAACTCAATTGGGGGTTACCCTCCCGTCCACCATGAAACCTGACGTTTCGGGGTCCCGAAAAACACGTTTCTCCTTTCAAATGGACCAATTCTCTGGCGGGTTCCATGCTGGACTGGAAATATTTCCTGTCCACTTACCCTCCACCCCTTGACATTGCCCCATGCTGGACAGGAGGATACCCGTCCACTTCCCTCCACCCCCCTGACATCGGACATGACATCGCCTGCTTCGATGAGAAGCTGCGCCGAGGCGAGGCGGTCGTACTTCGCGGCCACGAAGAGGGGTGTAGCGCCCCGCTCCGGCTTGTCCTCGAAGCCACATGGCTGTGGGTCAAAAATAGAACCTGCTAAATGGAACCCCTAACCGTTTTTTTTTTTTTTTTTTTTTCCGAGGGCGGCCCCTCCCCTCCACGTTGCCATGGAACCTGACAAAAGGGGTCCTGCAGCACTAATCTCTTGAAAAAGGAATCCTGGTGGGTTCCATGTTGGTGGACAGAAGGGTAGCCTTTAGGATTCAAAACAGAAGACACCACAAAATTCGTTTTGGGGGGTCCCCTGTTTTGACAGGTACCCAAATTTTCCCTCATGCGTGCATGGGAACATCAGACAACAACAAACAGAGGCCGGCCACACGAATACTCTGACGGGCATTTTGGATGACCAAGCTGTGGACCCATCTGGGCAAGCTACTACAATACTAAAAAACACAAACCAGAAGTAAGCTAACTCCGGGTAAAGGACATTCAGGGGTGAGCTACCCCCGACCGGTGAGCTAGCCATGAAAGAAACCCTTTTGTGGTTGAGCAGTTTAAGCGGGAACCCACCAAGCAGAAAGGGATAAAGGAAGCCACTAGACAGCGAAGCGACTTGAAGGTCGGACCAAAATGAATCAGTAGCCCATGTGTTGGCTGTCTTGTTTTGGGGGTGCCCTGGTTTCACTTGAGGGCAGCGCTGTTTTGAGAAACCCCAGCTTTCACTTGCCGTCCCTTTGTGTCTGCTTTTTGGGGAAAAATCGAAACGACCCAACTTTTTCTTATGTCTCCAGCACAGCGAAGCCTTCTTGAGCGCAGCCTTTCCTGGTGCCCCTTGCGGCTGCTCAAGCCCCAACCCAAGAAGTGGCCAACGTCCGAAACGGAACTCGGGAAGTGAGAAGAACAAATCATGGTTCTACCATCATGAGGTAGCAAACCAGGTTCTTTAGCAAATGGAGGACATCGTTTCTCTTCTTTTTGCCGGGGGGAGGGGGTCCCCTAAAACCCTTGAGGCTTAGTCCTCAAGCACAAATGCGGAGCGTGTTCTTTTTTTTTTGGGGGGGGGGGGAAGTGCCAACTTCTCTGGAGCTGGCCTCGGTTCGAAAAAACAGCCAAGGCGCCACGGCGGCCCGCGCGCCCAGCAGCGCTCTCACCAGCTCCGGCTGCCCGTGCTTGGCCGCGGTGAAGAGCGGCTGGCTGCCCCTGGTCGCTTGGTCCCCCCTAGGTCCTCCAGATTTGAGAGGTTAGAATAAGTTGGTACCAACCTCTTTTTTTTCGGTAGTCTGATTTTTTGGAGGGGTCTCCGGATTCATCCGAAGCTTCCCCAAAATCCCTGATGAGATGCCTGGGTGCGTCAAAAGAGGCGGACCCCAAAAAGATGGGGGGGGGTCTTTCAACTCGACCTGGTTTTCGCCTACCTTGAAGGGAACTCAAAGCCGGATTGCGCTGTGGGCATTGTGGAAACACTTCTCGGACCCTCCGAGCCTCAAATCTTCGCATACCCGGACCCAAAGGAATCTTCGCCATGGGGGCGGTGCCTGTTCCGATCCTCTCAGACCCTCAGACCCTCAGACCCTCATTCCTTGAAACCCTCAGACCCTGAAACCCTTAGACCCTTAGACCCTGAGACCAGTGTTGAAATACAAAACAAACGATATACGAACGATAAGTTCTAAGTTGCACGCTAGCTGTGGAATGTGGAGGCCAACGAATCATTTGGCAGATTTCGTCGTAGTATTTGGATCATGATTGTTGATAGCCTACTCATGAAATTTACATTTCATTAGCCGCGCCATTTGTTTTGTCACTAGAAAAATGGTAAAATGTCTCTGGGGAAGGCAACACAAGCAGAATGAAAGTGCGCATGTTGGATATAGTGTGTGGCACCACACCAACCAAAAGCAAGCTGCATTTGCAGTTGCCGGTGATCCGCATAGCATCATCGTAACAGGAACCTTGTCACACATAAGCACAACATTGGCCCAAACATGTTCAGGCTGCGGTCGTCTCTACCAAGCGACGTGGGCAAAGCGCCACAAGGGTAAGTTGCTTCGTTTCTGTTGCGGATGCTCTTTGTTTGCAATGTGTTCAAGGGAACCCAAGGGCAAAACAATCATGTTGGGGGGCTGCCCTATTTTAGGCCACATGTATAACGAGGCAGGGACCATCTGTCAGCTTGCCTCAGGGCAACCAAATCCTCCCGACCGAGATCGCTTGGAGCTCTCCTGAACCATCCCTTTCACTAGATGGTGATAAACAAAGAACCCCAGTTTGTTATACTGAAAAGAAGCTTAATAAAATAGCATGGAACTTGTTGTTTTGTGTTGGAAAAAAGTGTTTATACTCTTCTTAAAAAAAAAGTTAGCAAAACCGCATGGATCTTTCATGTTGTGTTTCTTAAACAACAAATGCAGGTTGTGCTTCGTGTTTGGTTTGGATGATGGGCTGTTCCAAGCTCCGGCCTGGCGCAGGAGTCGACCTCGGCGCGCCAGGCCAGGAGCAGCTTCACGTCCTGGCCATGGACCGCTCGAAACGAGACTCGAGGCGCGCGGCGAATTGAACCGGGCTGGGCGTGTCTTCCTCTGGCATGAACCGGCCCCCTTTTTTTTTTTGGGGGGGGGGGGGGGGGTAGAAAACGGGTTTGGATTGGTGCTTTTGCTGGATGCCGCGCGGCGGGGCTGGGCGTCTGGCAGGAACCTGTTTTGTGTTTGATATAATAAAAAATATATATTTATTGGGGGGGGGGTCCACCAAACGAAGCCCTAGGTCCAACCAGCAGTTCATTTCTGCATCACGAATAATGGAGAGAGTCTGGGAAACGCGTTTGGAGTGGTGCTTTTGGTGGATGTCACCTGTTCTTCCCCCTGTTGATTCTTCTTGCTTGGCTTTTAGTTTTTTTTATGGTATCCTACAGGGGTGGATCCACAAAAAGCAAGAAAGGGGTTTGAGATTAACTTCTAGCGGGATAAATGGAAAACCCAACCAAACCCTGAAAACAAACAAAACAACTAACAAACTGGATGGCTGGGACCACCAAGTTACAGTGCCCCATGATTGGAGGAATCATCCCCCGTCTCAAAGACTTGCGCTGAAACTCTTGGGTCAAAAGACGAACAACTGCGGATCCTTTGGTTCTGGCGCTTGCCCAATGGAACGGTTGCCTTAGTCCAAACGTATCCTCCAAATAACCGCTGAGAAAATGCACCGAGGCCGCTCCCGTGAGCCATCGAGCAAGTGAGTTCCCGCACCCAGATAGCACCAACACCTTGCACGTAGCACGCTGCTTTGAGCGGGTGTCGCAAAATCCGCATCGGACCTGCAAACCCTTACCATCCTAAACAGTCTTGATTCTGATACTCTTGGTCAATTCGAAAACACTTCTTGAATCGCAAATAATCATGTGTCTCACTGCTGCTATGTCAACGGAGTCGTGGAAACAAGTAATTGCCTATTCTGTACAGGCCTATGATGCTGTCGTCATTCCAGCTAGCCTCTTTCAACAATGACCGAACTGGACAGGAGGATCGCTTCCGCAACAGGTAGGCTTTCGTCTTCCAAAACCCCTCTTGTCCGCTTCCCTGATTGGAGGGAGGGTATCATGTTTGAGACCAACAAACAAAAGAGGTTTATCAAAAGGTGCTTTACGTGGGGGGTGACCAGGTATGGTCAAAGTTGGGGCCGCATAATGACATGGCCAAATGAAATGGCCACATGAAATGGCCAAAAAAAATATGGGGGGTTGAAAAGGCGCCATTTGAGGAATATTCATCAACCCCCCAACTGGCGCTAATCGATGCGCTTCGCGCGCTGCGCGCTTCGCGCAAAGGGCTCCTCTAAGCAGCCGTTGAGCGTGGCAATGGACAGCGGCGTGGCGCCGTCCAGCGCCTCAGGACGCCCGCGGTTGCGGCTTTTCTGGGTGGCTCGTCGTCGTTTTGAGTTGGCTGGGACCTCCCGAAATGGGGATCTTCCTGCTGGAACTTCCCTTTGAAACCACCCCAAAACAAAATACGAGCACCGACTCCAAAAAGGAAAAATCAAGCCCATAACTTGCAAAAAAAGATCACCGATCAAGTGCAACTCTCTTTAGAGTTCCGCCTCCGTTGCGCACGCTTTACGGTGTCTTGTCAGCCTCAACTGACACAGGTCGTTGTTGCAACTAAGGTTGACTTTAATCCGAAGGACGATGCCAAATAGAGGAATCTGCCGGGTCAGCTCTTGTTTGCTTGGCCTCCCACGAAAATGGGAGTCTTCCCCGCAGGCTCCTTTCAGTTCTACTGCGCTCACTGAGCAACATCCACTGCTTCAGAAGTAGCAACAGGGTCTGACCTGATTGTGAGTCCTTTGTGACCAACTCTCTACCCCTGTAGTGTGTCAAGAACACGAGCAGACTCGCGGGGCCAAATTTAGGCTGTGACTGGACGAAGGGCAGAAACATGCCAAAGCATCCCAATCCCCACTAAAATACACTAAAATGGGTGGTGCACCTACCCCAAAATGGTACCATTGGTTTTGACCCACAGCCATGTCATTAGGCAACACTAGACATGCTCTGCGTTGAGCTGCAATGCTTGCTCATGACGAAGCTACTGAGGTGCAAATCAAAAAGCGCCGGGGTCCCGAGGCTCCCGATTATACTTGCCAAAATGCTCGGGATGGGTCTTTCGGATCGAACCCTGTCTCCCACATCCAGGTCTTTCAACTCAGGCACGGCTAGGCTCAAGTTAGCTCCAGCTTGGACCAGGAACCGGAAGATGCGCCACCTGAGCGCAATTGCGGCAACCTGCGATGTTTCTGGCGATCGTTTTTCATGACACTTTCAGGGCACATCCAAATCGAAAAACCGGCTGGTTCAAAGATCCACTTGCGTCATCCTGGACCCCCGAACGGCAAAGGACTGGCGAAGTATGGGCTCCCCCAAAACGGTGCTCGTTTTAGAACCACAAACAAGGGGTTCCCCCGAAAAACACACCCATATGAATCATAATCTAAGCAATCCCTGGGCAGCTTGTTTCGTCCCTTTTGTGTTCGCCTCATCGTTGTGGACGACTGTATTCGTTGACCAGCAAATGGAGAGCAGCCTCATGTTGGGTTGGACAAACAGTCCATTTATGAGGAGTCGATGAGCCCGTCGTGGATTCAACTTGCCTTCTTAGGTCTCCAAAGTCCTTCTCATGAAGCGTGTGTTTCCCGCCCAAAGAGGCGGCAGAAACCCATCCTACTTGGGAAATAGCTCAAGAAAGGAACCTTCGCGGTGGATGTCGCACAAAAAGCACCCTCTCGTATCCGTCACGTGCAACAGCAACGTGTCATGTCCCCAAGCGTGACACAGGTTTAAGGTCGGGCCAAAAAACGAAGTGACAATGCCCTCGGAATACTCTGACACAGATTTTAGGGGTCCCCTATTTTACTTCCCGGTTCTCAGAATGAGGAAATCACCCCTGTAAACCCTAATTCATGGTTTCCTTTCCTCAGGAATCCCCAAACCGTTCCAGTACCGACCGGAAAAACTCGGAAGATCCTTCTATCGCAAAAGGCGACAGAACCCGACCTTTTGACCCAGCAGAGAAGCCGTGCCCAGCCCTCCGGAAACCCGAAGCCATAACTCCGATCCATCGATGGTCTTGCCGCGATAGGGACTGATGAAATGGAGGCTGACCCCGAGAAAAACCATCCCTTGCTGGTGGTTTCCTTTCAGGGGACACCAAAAAGGTTCATCCAACTGATTCTTTTTCAGGGGACTTCTTGGCACTGGCTTCAACTCATTCCCTGCCTACCGACCAGCCATCGGACCCTCAACGAGTCGCTGGGAACTCTGGGCCGCCATCAGCAGAGGCGTGAGCCCGTCGTTGGCCGCGCGGTCCGAGTCTGCCGAGGCGCTCCTAACCAAAAAAAACGGAAGCTGGCAGCGACGAACATGTCTATCTCCCGCAAAATGCCAGACGCCTGGGTTGCTTGCCAAACCCCTCTGCAACTTGAACTTGTTGTGGGTGTGAAAAATCCACGGTCTCAACTTTGTGGGTATGGAACATCCACTTTTTGTGGGTGCGATGTTAAAAAAATATATATTCCGCGAACTGCCGGACACCTGGGTTGCTGCGAGAAAAATGGATAACTTGTCGTGGGCAAGGAACATCCAACCTGTTTGGACCCAAAAGTACAAGTCCAAAGATCCAGGCAAATAGAAATTAAGTATGGAATTAAGTTTAACCCTACCAGCACCTGGATCCCGACTACTGCTTTGTGGCTACTGTGCAAACGGTATAATTGAACATGCTTGAAAAAGCAGTTGGGACCCTGCTAGGGACCCAACCAAAAGCACCAAACTCCAAAGAAAAGCTTTTTAGGGGTGCCTAGGGTTCCCAGCACACGCTCGCAAGGCCCGCAGCTCACATCCGGGCGAGGCGCAAAAGGCAGCTGACCACCGACAGGTAGCCATGCCTCGGATCTGAGTATGAGACGCCCTCGACCAGGGACTGCGATGCGAAAAAGGCATCCCTCCGTTCTGCGGGGCTGATTCCTTTGCCGTTCTTTTCAACCATCGTTCTTTTCAAAACCGATTGCTGTTTCCCCAACGTTTTGGGTGGTTTTGTAGAAAGAAGGATGCCTGGAAAGAATGGGGAAGGTGCCCCCAGAATCATTGCACATTTCCCGCCCCCCGCGTGTTTCCTCAAAAGCGGTCACAGTCGGGACCTTGAGCCAAAGGGATGCGTTTGGTCTGGAAACATCTTCGAGGGTGCCGCCCTCAATCCTCCCGTTGCTCCTCACCTTTCGGAGAGAGCTACTGCGCGGCTGCAAAGAGCGGCGTCTCCCCGTTCTCCGTCGCGGCATTTACATCCTCAGAACTTCGCGCAAACATGAGAAACACTGCTTGAAAGCTTCCGAATGCACGCACCTTTCTCAGTTCCTCTCCCCAAAATCCAAATTTCGATAGCCTTGCTTCACGCCCGTTTCCTTGCTCCAAAATCCTTCCTTCTTCCCCAACGCCTTGTAAGCTTTGTTTGCAGCCTCTGTTTGGAAATCCAGCGACGCACGAGAAAGCCTCTGTTCTGCCGCACACATCACTATGACTTTGCAAGTTGGAAACAAAGAAGCCTGATGTAAGAAACCATAATGAAAACGCTTCTTTACGCCCTTCACTTTGCTTTGCTTGCTTCCGAAACAGATAGGTCAACCACCTCCTATCACTTCCGAACCGGGAAATGAACGTTGGAACTCTCTGCGGCCGTTTGTTTGATGGAAAAGGGAGCCATGTCTTGCTGGATTGGACCACTCCAGCCACGCCCAAAAGGACTCAACTCCAAGGGGTTGCAATCTCCCCCCAGCCGGGTTTAAGGGCGTGGGCATACCCAACACTGCGCCATGTAGGTGGTAAACCCCTACAAGAATTGGATCCAGAAAGTCATGCTGACCCCTGATTAATAAACCCCCAGTTATCAATCAGGGGCGTCCCCCTCAAAAGAAGGATTCCCCACTTCAAATTGGGGCCCTTTTTAATAACAACTTTAAGGGGTCAACATGATAAACCCCTATAAGAATTGGATCCACAAGTAAGGGGGTCTACAATGTAAGGGGGACCTAACAGAGGGACCTAACAGAGGGACCTAACAGGGACCTTGATGGGGGACCTTCATGGGGTGCGGCATCACTTCTTTCGCCCCGCTTCGCTGGAAACGAATCCCCTTAAGCCCCTGGGGGGGGGGGGGAAAGCCACATATATATATATATATATTATATTATATATATATATATATTCCGGTAGTGGTAGATTCCCTTTAAAATCAAGAGGCGAAAATGGCAAAAGCAACTTCTTTAGCTACCCTCCCACCAGCTAACATGGAAGTGCACAGACCCCTGTAGAAAGACTACTTTCCTCTTGGAAAGTGCCTTTTTGCACTTCCATGTTAGTTGGTGGGAGGGTAATGGAAGAAGAATCTGTCAGTTCCGTCCAAGGCGCCGCTCGCGCGGAGAGCAGCTGCGCCAGGCATCGCAGGTGCCCACAGCTGGCTGCGCAGAAGAGGCCCGTGGCGCCGTCTTTGCCTGGGCTAAGGCCCCGTCGTAAGGGTATGTCTTCTTTTGGAGTCGGTACCCGTTTTGTGGTGGTTTTAAACGGCCATAGGGGGAGTGCCCTAAAGAGGTGATGCCCAAGTATTCTTAGGGTTCTTCTTGCGGAAATCCTCCAAGAACCCCAACACGTCAACAATATTGAATTAACATGCTCATAATTCGGATGGTACTGTAATTGCAATTATCCATTGGATCCTTGTTCAGAAAATCGCCACAAATTCCTCCAAAAACCTGGCCTACATATGAACCGCCAGAAAACTTGATTTTGGAGAAGTCTCCTTTTGGGAGACCTTCTTGTTGGGCTCCGTGCTATTTTGTAAGTAGAGGAAAAACGACTCTGATCGAATGGCGGGCAGTCTGTCACTTTGTTGCAAGCCCATAACCATGAAACGCCAACACTCCAGGTCTCCTTTTCCATATTCCCCCTTTCAAACATCACCCCGCCAACAGGACACTGCTTTTACTCTGCGGCATGTGGATCCCTTGCCAAAAGCACAACTGGATCCCTCTACACTCCAAAGAAAAGAAAGGTGCTGATACAGGACCCGGACATCAGGCCGGACCTTGGAGCCCTTGCATCCACAAACCACGCCTGCGAGATTCGCGTCGGCCGCCGCATCCAGTAAGCATCCCAGCACCTGCGACAAAGGTCGAAAAAGGCGACCAGAGTGCCCTTTTTTTTGTGAGCTTTGCAAATGACAGACCTGTAGGGTGCGGTGAATGGGGTTTCCGTCGCCGTCAGCCGATACGCTTCGTCGGCTCTGGTTGGAGTACCATGACCCAACTGACCATGCCCTTACGAGGTCACATAGTCATGTCTATGGTTGGTCGTCAAGGGCAGCTTGGGTCAAAAAACTGCCTTGTTTCTCATTTTGGTCAAATGGACTGGACGTGCTCATGGCCACTGCTCAAGGCCTGGCCCCTGTGCCAACTTGAGCCCCTGGCCAATTGAGCATCGCCCAAAACCGATGCCCTTCGGCCATTCTTGCAGGTTCTACCTGGGTTAATGGGGGTGGTCATAGCAAGGCGTGTAGCTTGTACAACATTGTAAAACCATTTTGGTACCAACAGTTAATGGTGTAGGGCGCTGCTCACTCTACTGAGAAGGATGGGAACAGAGGAAACCCCCCCAACTTGTTGCCAGGTTCTAGGTCCCCTCGCCCTGGTAAACCCCACCCCCCCATGGAGTGGTTGTGGGTGGCGTTGGTTGAGGAGTTTGGGCCACTGGAAAACCTGAAAAGACAGTTGTTTTATTTTCCTGGTCCTAGGTGCGCTCCCCTCCCGCCCTCAGTGGTATCCCTCCAAATCCAGCCTAACTCGCTGCAAGCTAGCCAACCCTCAACCAATCCTACACCAGCCCTTAACCAACCCTCCTTTCTTTCTTGGAAGGGACCCGTTCGCCATGCTTCATTCAAGGCCGGGTCGTCTCCTTTGGTTTCCCTTTCAAGACAAAAGAAGTCAGCATCAGTCAACCATGAACTCTGGTACGTGCAAAGTTTCAAAGGAATGGGGCGATGAGGAGCACCCTAAGTGAACGAATGACCATTTCGGATGCCATCGGAGAACCTTACTTTCGAGTGGAGGCCGCCTCATCGCAGCCGAGTTGGGCGGCGAGGTGCAGAGGAGTCAGCTCATCATGGGACATGGGATTCACGTCCTCAGGACGTCCCCAAAGCACTCTCAGCTGCTTGCTCGACCAAGCGAGATATGGCTGTGGGTCAAAACTAGGGTAACCCCAAAATGGCACCCTGGTAAATGGAAACAGAGACTAAAACCTGCGGTCCAATTCCTGGTGCTTCAATTTTGACCCATACCCATGTGGCGACAGCTTTAATATAAGGCCAAAAGCTGAATAGGATTCTCGAGTCCAAGACCTGGAGAGCGGAGACCTGAACCATTTTCCTGGTACATGTCAGGCAACCTTTGGATTGGTGGTTTGTAGATTTGACCCCTGGTTCTCATAGGGGGCAAATGGGAAACCAAGCCCTTCCCTCCAAACCACCAATGAAAACCACCACTTAGAGGGGAGCCGAAGTCATTTTCGAAAGGAAGTAAGTACCCTAAAGGATTATTTTTCCCCATACGTTGCCCCTTTGTGACGTCACAAGTGAAGGGGCGGTCAGAAGTGGGGACATGGGTGCGAGGTTTAACTGAGGACCCTTTTGGTAGTTGGGATTAACGTGCACCAACCACTTGGGAGGGTATTCCTACTATAAATTCATAGCCATATCTTCTTCCTATTTTAGAGCGAGCTCACCACTGAGCATACCTTTACCACAAAAAAAAGACAAGCAGGATTGGCATCGAAGAGGCATCAACATGTTCCACATTTTGGGGGGCAGCCATTGGACGAAGACGCTGCGCAAGTCCCAAAGTCGGAAGGCTTCCGGCTTGAGCCGTTTGTGTCGCCCCAAGTTGCAGCAAAAACCCACAAAGACATATGGCCATGGGTCAAAATCCATACTTCCAGCGAACATCCGATTCAATCCGACTAAAATTGGTTCTAAAATGGGTGGTGAATTCACCTACCCCAAAATGGGATGCTATTGGTGTTGACCCACAGCCATATCCGATCCATCTTGGCCTTTGCCACACTTCAGGTGCGTCCCACATTCCACCTCCCCTCCCCCAGATTGCAAGGTTGCCAGCATTGCCCTCTGCTCCCTTTGCTTAGCCGAATCCGCCATTTGGGGGGGGAGGCGGTTCTTCGCACGCATCACGGTTTTGCAATCTCGGAAAAATATCACTCCAACGACCCCGCAGTCAAGTGACCCGTTGCTCCATGTAGGTATCCCTCAAAGGACTTGTTCCCAGGCCGGTTTCTGTCTTCTTTGCCTTCTTTGTGGGCTCGTTCTCGCCCCCCGCAAAACAAGTCGCGGGGAATCGTTCGGCATTGTCTGCGAAAAAGTTGCAAGGGGGTCGAGCCAAAGAACAAGTTGGGGTTTCATTCCTTGGGCATCCAGTGGCCCCTTTAAAGGGTACAAATGTTGTGGCGGTTGTATGTGTTTTGGCTGAATCAAACAGGCCTGGTGCCAAATGAGTGGGGGTCTTGAACCCCTTTGTGGGTTAGAAATAGCCTAGGACGCTTGACCCCCACCAACAAAAAGTGCAACCTGCCAAAAGGCCCTGTAACAGGATGGTGTCTTCCCTCCTCCCTTGGAGAAAGGGCCCAAAGTCTTTGTCAGGAGAAGAATAACCCACCAAGATACAGGCAAGTCCCTGCAATTCCCCTCACTTGTAGTGGCTTTTGGAGGGCTTCCCCGGTTTTTGATGACTTGTTTTGGAATGGAAGGGACCCCGACCCAATCCTTCTGCTCGGCCTCCAAAAACTCTCCGCGCCGCGGGTCTCGAACCCTCGGCCGAGGTGCCGCGCGGGTCTCCAGCAAGCGCTGCGCCGCCTCCGCGCGGTTGCGCCGCGCTGCCGCGTGCAGGGGCCGTCGCCCGAAGGCGTCCTTTGGCGCAAAAAAACAAAAACAAACGCGAGGGGCCTTATGCGGGCGGTTCCATTTACCAGCAAAATGGTTTAGGTCTCCGCTCTCCAAAAAGGTCTTGGACTTGAGAATCCCTCAATTCGGCTTTTGGCATTATATTAAAGCCATCGCCACATGGGTATGGGTCAAAATTAAAGCACCAGGAATTGGACCGCAGGTTTTAGTCTCTGTTTCCATTTACCAGGGTGCCATTTTGGGGCTACCCTATTTTTGACCCACACCCATGTCACCTGAAGCAAATGGCAGTGGGCCAAAAAGTCGGGTAACCCCCAAATGGAACCAGAAGTGGAAACGTGGACCAAAACCTGCGGTCCGAAGCCTTGGGGCCCCTCCAATCTGTTGCAAGAACCATTCCTCAAAGCGCTCCTGAAAGGGTCACCCTATTTGAGTCCTATGTCAGCCTGATCCAATTTGAATATGAACGTGACCAAAGAAGGGTTCCTTAAAAGGGGTCTTCAAACACCCACCAAGGAAATACACTGGCCCAGAAGGTAATGCTGACAACCCAAGGCAATGCAAGCACCTCAGGGAGGGACAGGGCATCTTAACTCTGGGAGAATTCCCAAAAGGCTGGACGTCAGCTCGTACTTCTCAAGGAAACTCTACCCACATCCGAACCGGGGAACCTTGTTTTTCAACCCTCCGAACCTTTTTTTCAACCCTTCCCCTTTGTTCTAACCCTCAAACCTTTTTAGGGTTTAGGGTAAACCCAGGGTATTTGATGTGGGGCCTTGGCAAACGGCAAGGGAGCTGCCCTTGAAACTGTCAAGTCGCCTGCCCTCATTTGAAAGAGAGGCCCATGCGCGCCTTGGTCACTCCTGTTGGTCACGGTTCCCTTGATCGGTTGCATTTACGGTTGGCGAACCTCCAAAAAAAAGGGGTTGATGACACTCCATAACCAAACCAAACCAAGGGCTTTTGACCGTGGCACAATTCCCTGGGGCATCTTGCTCATTCAGAGGTTGACCATCCGTAACAACCCAAAACAGAGGCGTTTGACCGTGGCACAGGTCCCTTTGAATCTCTCCAGGGCGCATTTCCGCGGTCCCAACATTTCACTTTCGGCGGCTTCCTGTGGCGCCAACATTCAGATCCTGAGCACCAACTTTTGCACCGCCTCCGTGTGGGCGGCTCATCATTTTTGAGGGGATCCCTTGAAAGTGTTTTTTTCGGGGAAGCCAGGAGGAACCCCAACCGCTTCGTGGTTCAGTGACCCTGGGAAAAAGAAAAAAAAATCGGAAGCCTTTCTTGGGGCTTGGACCATTTTTAGTGGGGCAGCCACCGAAAAAAAAAAAAAAAAAAAAAAAAAAAAAAAAAAAAAAAAAAAAAAAAAAAAAAAAAAAAAAAAAAAAAAAAAAAAGAATTGGCGCCGCTGAACTGAGGCGGGGCCCGAAACCTAAAAGGGAAACCCACGCCCACGGGCCGCGTGTCGGGCTTCTCAACGTCTGCGCAGGCATCGCCTCAGCGCCCGGCGCACAAGCTTCAAACGGGTGGCTCTTTTCTTAGGGACCCCCCAAATAATATATCTCATGGTGGTTTTGCTTTGGCTTTCTTGAAAACCACCAAAAAGGAGGTTCCCCCCTGAAAAAGACACACCTAGATGCCAACCACCAATCCAAAACCACCAAATAAGGGTTACCTGATAGGCCTAAATAATCAGAATGGGGATTGGGACTTTAAGACTTAATCAAGTCATGCTCAAGTCATGCCCCCCTATATTCCCTCGGCTGTTGCCAAAACCTCAAATGTTGTTGGTTAATACTGAGTGGGCAAAATCCGTTCGAAAGGGCCCATAAATTGTGGATCTTTTGGACGGTTTCCAGGGGCTCAGTCCAAAACCTGGGGTCGCTTCCCTTTGACCTGCCACTCGGTAGCAATGAACTCATGCCATGGTTCTCGAACATGATCCTTTGATAGCAACGTGGGATTTTTCCATCCCCATGAGTACTCGATGACTTCAAAGGGGACGGCCTTGGTGGCCACCATTTTTCGCCCCATTGACGCCCGGAAATTCGGGACGTCGGCCATTTGGACAGCCTTTTTGTTGACTCCTTGCCACCTTGGACGTCACGCAGAAAGCCCATCCAATTGGCTGACGGAAGAACCCTGCACCCCCCCCCCCGGGTGGAAACCTTCCGGTTGAAACCTTATCGAATTTCGAGCCCCTTGCAGTGGAACAGTTGGGCCAAATTGAGTGGCAGAGGTCCAATCAACTCCATGTTGGTTTCATCCCTTTTACTTACCAAGGGACTTTTGCCGTTTGGGTATGGCTCGTCAAAATTGGGCCACCCCCAAAACGGATTTCGGTTGTTCCTTCTGCCTTTCCCTTTAAGCCACCCTGTTTTCTTGCTGGTTCTCAGGGTTCATTTCCAAGACCCGGGAAACTCGACTCGGAAGGTCATTCCCTACTTGGCAGCGTCTGCATGTTTTCAGGGCCCCTGTAAGCCATCCCCGATGGTTTGCTTTCAGGGAATCCCCAAACGGTTCATTCCCAACACGCGGACTCGGTCATTCCCTGAGCTCCAGGGCAACTCGATGGATCGATCCATTCGCGCGGAAACGAGTCGAGTCTCAGCTTCCCCTTGTTTGGCGGTTTGGATTGGTGGTTTGGTGCTTCAGGAGGGGCTTAGCATTTACCCTCAACAAGAACCAGGGACCCGTTCAAACCTAAATCCAAACCACCAATCCGAACCATCAATCAGGAGTTGCCTGACCAAATCGAGTGAGCTTCTGGTGTCCAGACATCGACATGGAAACCCCGCGCCTGGGCTGTCCGTTTTACCATCCCCCCCGGCAACAAGTCGAAAACGGAAACCCGACCACTAAGCCACCTGAAAAACGATCCGAAAAGCTAAGCTGAACCGGAGGGGTTTCCCTCAGCCAAGCCGTGGAGTCCTCGTCGCTCCAAACGGGGCCCACGGGGTGCCGTTCGAGTCGAGGTGCGGAGCAGCAGCAGCACCTCAAGGTGCTCGGCCTCGCAGGCCTTCCAGCAGGCCGTCTGCGCCTCACCGCGTTCGCACCCGATCCGCCCGGCACCGGCTCGTTCTTCTTTTTAGGATATCCAGGATCCAAAAAAGGGGTAGCTCGTGGTTCTGTTTTCGGATTCGGGTCCCGGAAGATGGTTGGTGTCCTTTGGGTGTCCCTTTAAAGCCAAGCCAAAGGGGGATACCCTCAGAGCAAAACAGACTTGTATGAGACATGGGGTCCAGAGATTTCTCAGGATCCTCCCTGCAAAAGTGCTCCCCTTTGTTTTCCCGTTGGCTTCCCTTCGCACAACGGCAATTCATTTGAGGGGACCTGCAAAGATCAACAGCCCTCTTTTTGGAACCTTACTGGGAAGTCCCGGCGACCATTCGGAACTCACTGGGTTTTTCCGGGCATGTCGAAAAGTTGCTCACCACTAAAAAGCCGCAAAAAGTGTCCGAAAGGAAAATTGAAAATCTGGGGTGACACGCCAAAGAGCATTTCAGACTGGGAATTCAAAATGTGCAAAGGGCCATTGGGATCTCTTGACTGGGGTCCCAGCTCTGCAGTTTAGGGGTTTCCCCAGCTGAAAAAATTGAGCAGCTCATCTGAGCTGGTGCGGGGGCGCGATGGAAAACATCCTACCCGTCCTAACCTGAGAAGGAGGAGGAACAAAAACGCGGGATGTTGTTTGAACCCCCCCTCCGCCCCACACCCAAAATGCCCAGAACCAAACTGGATGTTCTTTGCATCCACCAGAAATGAGCAGAACTGAGAAAGCAAACAACGAAAACACATAAGGCTGTGGTTTGCGGCTCGGTACCCTTTTCAGCTTGCTTTAAAAAAGGGAAACCAACAGGACCACCCGCAGTCAAGAGAAGCAACCTGGCATCTCTTAGCACAACCAACCAATACGGTTCCCGGATTCTGAGAGATTTCTCGAATGGGGGAAATCCGCAATGTGGGTGCCAGGGGGGCTAACTGATTCTTACTAACCACTACGTCAAGGCATGGGTGCGTCTTTTTACCCCCGTTTGGGGTGGGCTCTTAAAGACCAAAATTGCACTCCCCGACGAATTTCAGAGCTCCCCCCCTTGAGATGTGTGTTTCAAAAAAAGAATAAAACAATAATAAATAATAATAAATAAACAATAATAATAATAAATAATAAGATAATAATAATAATAAATAATAATAATAACAAATAATAATAAATAAAAATACATAATAATAAATAATAAAATTATATTATAATACAATAATAAATAAGAAAAAAATAATAATAATGATAAACTTCCAGGACGCCCAACTTGCCTGTTCATCCGTCACGTCCGGGTCCTGGCAGGCTGTCAGGCACTCCTCGGAGCAGCGTGACTCGCCAGGCGCAGACCCAAAAGGGGGGGGGAGATGCTGGTCCCCTGAAATGATGGGAGTTGCCGGAAAGGGTCCTTGATGTCCAGACTGCCCAAGGATTCTCCCGTCAAAGTTTAGCATCAAAGCACAAAAGTTCAGGGAGACCGGCCTATACTTTTTTGGTGGCACGTTGGGGGTGCCGGGTCCCACCGAATTTTGAGACCTCCCCTTTGCACCTTTGCACTCGCGTTCTGTTGGCGCTAAGTATCCCTTTCAAAAGCCGGCACCATGCTGGCTTGGAGGCCCACGCCCAAAAAAGAAAAAATGGCAGAGAGCAAAATGCGAACCAGGAAACCAAAAGAAAAGCAAGTGGTATGCTGACATACCACAAATATAGCTCAAAATAGCCCTGAAGTTGTTTGGGTGTGTGTTTTCTGTTCAGCGTACCGGTACAGGGAGCCCAAAAGGATCCCCACCTGTTTTGGACGGGATCCCTAGGGTCGATTATCCTTCGCACGATGGTCTGAAAGAGCCGGATCGATCGAGCAGGTCAGCAATATTATATTAGTGTCCCTTTCTCTCTCAAGACATGCCATACCCAAAAACTGTTGGGACAAATATTGGACTGGAACATGAGAATGACGAGATCAAAACGCGGGACCCAGTATTGACAGCTTTTGCCTTGATCATGTTGCCATCTTTTGAAAGCGCTACACGTGAGATTATCTCAACAGGTATCGCTTGTTGGATGGTGCCTGTGCGAAATCAAAAAGAAAGCCAGCTGCGGGCGTCCTCAATTTCGAGAAACACCTCAAACTCCTCCGTGCCTTCCACTCCGAGGCCTTTTGCCTGATAGACTTGTTGCTGTATCGCCAGGCGGGGGCAAAGTACCAGTACGGCTTCCCCTTAAGCCCACCAAACGGGGTCCCTCCTCGCATGAGAAACTAGGGCCCTTCCCAGGGCAGCCAAAGTCCAACTGCAAAGGCTACCTTCCGAGTGGGCAGGCACAATAACTAGATCAAAGGCGTGGACCTTAAAACCCAAATCAAATCTTCAATATATATGGTCACACACCCCATGATCTACATGTCTATCCTGTCCTAATAACAACTGTGGTTTTACCTGGTGTTTTGTACTGTTTGTTTTACTGCTTTCTGGAAGTTAGTTCCATATATATATATAATAATGTATACATGTGGGTAGTTCTTCAGACCCTTGAATTGCTCTGCCGATGCGCATACAACCTAAAAACAAACACCTCCCCGTTTGGTGGGAGCGCAACCTCTGAGGCGAACCACCCTGCCCGGTTTCGGGTAACCAACGCCGGGGCTCCGCCAACACATCTGCGTTGCCATCCGCGGCCTGCAGGACTCGCGGATCAAGTGACACCTGTAAGCCCCAACTGGGAACCTCTGAACATGTGTGGTTCCGAAAGTTCGCCCAAAACCAGCCATTGGATTGACCTTCAGGCTTGGGGCCCCTGCTGCGGGGGTGCCATCTTCTGGTGATTTCATTTTGCGTTTTCGTCAACCATCATTCTTCTCACACAAGCGCCTTTCCCATAAATGTGTGAGGCTATTCAAAAAACAAGAAAGGACCTGGGGACAAAGTGGGGGCGCACACCCCTTGCGGCAGCAGCATACCTTTTACCTCAAAGTTCCGAAAGCAGTCCAGCATTCGCAGCTGCACACATAAAACTTCAGTGGCTACTTTAAGTTTGACCTCTCTCGAACTCGATCGAAACCCAAAGGGCTCAACATTGTTTCTGTTTCCTGAAAAACACGTCATTGGTCTAAGTGATGTTGGAACTGGCCTCAGGGTGATTCTAACTCATTCCCCAAGCGCAACATAGTTGTAACCCCCCCCTTTAAAAAGCAGGGGGGAAGCAAATGGTTGGTTTCCTTGTTGGTTTCCCTAACCCCAACATCCCACCCAGCACCCCAGCCCCATCCCCAACCCCACCCTCCCCAAAACATCTCTGGATACCCCAAACCCCCCACCACCAGCGACCCCCACCACGCGCCCGTCGAAGGTCGCAAGCCCCGCCGCGGCCAAGAAGGCGGCGCTGTAGTCCTCCACGTAGTCGGTGAAGACCACCTGCAGCTCCTGAGAAGCTCCCCCCATGTCCCAGCCCCGAAAGCTACCCGTACCCCCTCAACCAACAAACACAATTGAATAAAAAATACGAAAGAACGCACGAACGAACGAACGAACGAATGAATGAAATTAATGAAATGAATGCAATGAAATAAATAAATAAATAAATAAATGAATGAATGAATGAATGAATGAATGAATGAATGAATGAATGAATGAATGAATGAATGAATGAATGAATAAATACATCAATGAATCAATGAATGAATCAACAAAGCCAGGAAGAAATGAATGAATCAATGAATGAATGCATGAATGCATGAATGAATGAATGAATGAATGAATGAATGAATGAATGAATGAATGCATGAATGAATGAATAAATGAACGAACAAACGGACGAACGAATGAAATGAATGAAATGAATAAAATGAAATGAATGAAATGAATGAAAGAACGAACGAACGAACGAAGGAACGAAGGAACGAATGAATGAATGAAATGAATGAAATGAAATGAAATAAAATGAAATAAAATGAAATGAATGAAATGGATGAACGAACGAACGAACGAACGAACGAATGAATGAATGAATGAAATGAATGAAATGAATGAAATGAAATGAATGAAATGAATGAAATGAAATGAAATGAATGAATGAATGAACGAACGAACGAACGAACGAACGAATGAATGAAATGAATGAAATGAATGAAATGAATGAAATGAATGAAATGAATGAAATGGATGAAATGAAATGAAATGAAATGAAATGAAATGAAATGAAATGAAATGAAATGAAATGAAATGAAATGAAATGAAATGAAATGAAGAAAGAATGAATGAATGAATGAATGAATGAATGAATGAACGAACGAACGAATGAATGAATGAATGAATGAGTGAATGAATGCATGAATGAATGAATGAATGAACGAACGAACGAACAAATGAATGAAATGAATGAAATGAATGAAATGAATGAAATCAATGAAATGAATGAACGAACGAACGAACGAACGAATGAATGAACGAATGAATGAAATGAATGAAATGAATGAAATGAATGAAATGAAATGAAATGAAATAAAATGAAATAAAATAAAATGAAATGAAATGAAATGAAATGAAATAAACAAAGAAAGAAAGAAAGAAAGAAAGAAAGAAAGAAAGAATGAATGAATGAATGAATCAATAATTAATTAATTAATGAATGAATGAATGAATGAATGAAAGAAATTAATGAAATGAATGCAATGAAATAAATAAATAAATGAATGAATGAATGAATGAATGAATGAATGAATGAATGAATGAATGCATGAATGAATGAACGAACGAACGAACGAATGAAATGAATGAAATGAATAAAATGAAATGAATGAAATGAATGAAAGAACGAACGAACGAACGAACGAATGAACAAATGAATGAATGAATGAATGAATGAATGAAATGAATGAAATGAAATGAAATAAAATGAAATGAATGAAATGGATGAACGAACGAACGAACGAACGAACGAATGAATGAATGAATGAATTAAAGAATGAATGAATGAATACATGAATAAATGAACTGGATTGGATTGGATTGGATTGGATTGGATTGCATTGGAATGGAATGGAATGGAATGGAATGGAATGGAATGGAATGGAATGGAATGGAATGGAATGGAATGGATGAATGAATACATGAATGAATCAATGGAATGAATGAAATGAAATGAAATGAACATGAAAATGAAAATGCAAATGAAAATAAATGAAATGAAATGAAGTGAGTGAATGAATGGAATGGAATGGAATGGAGTGGAATGAAATGAAATAAAATGAAATGGAATGGAATGGAATGGCATGAACATGAAAATGAAAATGAAAATGAAATGAAATGAAATGCAATGAAATGAAGTGAGTGATTGAGTGAGTGAATGAATGGAATGGAATGGAATAGAATAAAATAAAATGGATTGGAATGGAATGGAATGGCATGGCATGGCATGGCATGGCATGGCATGGCAAGACATGGCATGGAATGGAATGGAATGAAATGCAATGCAAAGGAATGGAATGGAATGGAAGGGAATGGAAGGGAATGGAATGGAATGAAATGAAAGGAAATGGAATGAAATGAAATGAAATGCAATGAAATGAAATGAAATGCAATGCAATGCAATGAAATGAAATGCAATGAAATGCAATGAAATGAAATGCAATGAAATGAGATGCAATGAAATGAAATGCAATGAAATGAAATGAAATGAAATGCAATGAAATGCAATGAAATGCAATGAAATAAAATACAATGAAATGGAATGGAATGGAATGGAATGAAATGCAATGAAATGAAATGAAATGCAATGCAATGAAATGAAATGCAATGAAATGAAATGGAATGGAATGAAATGGAATGAAATGAAATGAAATGGAATGAAAAGGAATGAAATGAAATGAAATGCAATGAAATGAAATGCAATGCAATGCAATGAAATGAAATGCAATGAAATGAGATGCAATGAAATGAAATGAAATGGAATGGAATAGAATGGAATGAAATGAAATGCAATGAAATGCAATGCAATGAAATGAAATGCAATGAAATGAAATGCAATGCAATGAAATGAAATGCAATGAAATGAAGTGAAATGCAATGAAATGAAATGAAATGGAATGGAACGAATGAATGAGTGAACGAACGAACGAATAAATGAATGAATGAATGTGTAAAGAACAAACAATCGCATGTTTGTTCACCCCCAAGCCCCCAAGCTGCAAAGACTCGCCTGCTCTGCGAGCATCACCCAGCTCGAAGCCTGAGCGTTGAAATCCGTTGCAAATTGATATGCTTTGGCCAATACCGGGGGGAACACAGAAAATACCATGTTCATATGCTTCATGTTTCGACTTCCAGCAAAGTTGGATGATGTTTGGAGGCGAACCCAAATGTGTGGGGGGAGGGGGGTTGGCTGTTGTTTTAGGCGCAGTACCGCGTGTTAGCTTGCTTTAAAGGGCGATCGAAAGCCGATATCCGGTTGCGGAGTCTCGTTATGTTTTAGCATGGTCGACCCTGGCGCTCACGTGGCCGTCCGGAATCTTACCACGGGTGCCTGATGTCGGCCATGTTAGGCGGGAAGTTGGTGTAGAATCTATGGGACACCATCGTGCAGGTTACATCGTCGGGGTTCCTTCAAGGATACATCCAAAACCACCTTCTACAACTGCTGGTATGTGGGTGTGTCGTTTTTGCCTACGCTCCGGAAACCGGCGTGGAGTTTTCTTGGTTTTTCGGGATGTTTAAGCAAGGACGTTCTACCGGCCGACAGAAAGTGGGTTCTCGTACACGCCGACCCACGCTCTCCGTCATACTCCTGCGTACATGCCTGGCACATGGTAGGCGCACCCGCCCACGCTCCACACGCAGGACTCCAACGCAGTTGCCCCTGATTTGTTTGCACCTACGCAAAAGCGTGGCACTGGCGGTACATGGCTGCAAGGCTTGTTGTCTTCCACAGTCACAGCCGTGCGGCGCATGCTAGAGATCACAGAAGTGTAGCCGCGGCGTTTCTTTTGCAGCGAGGCAGTATGGCTTGCGTGTGTCGCTGAGGCAAGATGCACATGCCTGTTCTAAAACACGGAAATGTTCGTCATGGGAATTGTGCTGTGTTTTCTTGATTTATCTTGTTTCGCCTCAGTGAAACACACGTTTTGGCAAATCACACTGGAGCATCGCACACGTTCTGACACGGGCGCATTGTTGTAAGTGACAAAACCCAAGCGCCGCGCGCGTTTGAAAGGCTGCGCCGTACGCGCGGCGACGTGCAATTTTGCTGCGCCGGTTGTCGGTTCCGGCCGGTCGTTGTTGTAGGATTTGGACCTCCAAAATGGCGCAAGGGTTTTTCCTTTGGGCCTCCCTTTCAAGCTGCCAAGAAGAAGTGGCTTGTGGGGTATCATTCCAGGCCCCCGGCATCTGAGATGAACGTCTCGCCAACCAGCAGCTGCTGCCTGTAGATACCAACGACATGTCTTGCCTTTTGAACCAGCACCCTTTGCTGAGTCGGCACTCTTTGTTGAGTGGTTTAGAGGGAAGCAACCGGGAAATCGTCATTTGTTAGAATCACGTGAAGTCGTTGTGTTTTCTTTTTTGAGACTAAATAAATAACGGTGCTACCCATAGACACCAGCAACAAACATGTCCACAGGATAGCCAAATACCATGAACTGCACACCAAAACCAAGGAGGTGTTGCTAACTTCCTCCCGAATGTCCTGCAGCTAAGTTCCTAGAATTGTTGTTGCGGAAATGGATGACCCCTCACTGTACCGTTGGTTGGGGCCCCCTTTCCATAGTACTGTGTTGTCAGTCAGAACCATATATGCACTTACCTCAGACCTTCTTTGATCCCAGTGCCGGTGTCAGTCTTAGCCGTTGTAACTACGCACACCTCACAGACACACTTGATATGAGACGGCGAAACTGCCAAGGTGCACCCCCAAGCAACTGAAAGGTGAAAGGTGAAAAGAGGAGTTTCGGCTTGACGTAAGCCCGGTAATTGTTCATCCTGCCGGCAATCCTCATCAGGAGCGCCATCTGCCAACAGGATTACTGCATTCCGGGGCATTCGTCAAGGTGGCGTCCGACTCCAATAAAGAGAGAAAATCACGACCGCAAAACCCCTTAGGAACAGGGGGGCCACACACACACCCCCCGCAGGGGGAAGAAAAACCGCCAAAAAGCCGCCTCCATCATGATTGCCGATGGGTAGTTTAGACTGTTGGCAGAACTCCTGCCTAACTGCTCACGATCAAGACCAGCATGCTCTCGCCGATGCTCTGCTAATAGCTGCTCAACTGCTGCGCACACCTGATCCTGAGGGACACTGTTGAAGAAGCCGACCAAATCGTCATTGTGAAATGCAAGAGTGACTGTATCGTCTGTGTTGTCAAAGTATTGTTTGACGTTCTGCCATATCCTCGGCGTGGGGTGTACCCCCCACGAACACTTCCACGTACTCGCTGCGATCTCGCCGAGAAGGATCGCAACCGCTTTGAAGAGCTGCCTGTGCACCACCTTATGGTAGGCTATAATAGTTCGCCCTGATTTCCATTGCTTCTTACGTTTGAGAAAGACCTTGCCGACCGGGATCGCGGTGGTCTTCTTCCTGTATGCCCATTTGTACCTCTTCTGCAGGTGCCGCGGGATAGCTTCAACAATAAGAGCCTCGGCCTGGTCGGGCTTCAGCGAAGTGGCGGCAAATGTGCCGGACTGAAGCCAGGTGTTGTGGAGGCCTTCGAAGTAGAGTTGGGGGCAGAAGAACATGAGGTGGTGGTTGTCATGGTCCTCGTTGTGGCACACAAAGTCCTGGCTGAGGTGCCGATGCAGGATGTTCAGCTGGTGCTTGGTGAGAAGTTGATGGGTGGATGCGTGCTGCCGGTGTTTCCGAAATTCATTGCGTAGGTGCTGCATGAGGGGTGCGTGGAATTGGTCCAGGGGCAGACCGTGGTGCAGGCACCATTTTCGTAGACGTTCATGAACCTGCACTTCGTAGACGGACAGGTCCACATAGTATGACGCCAAGGCTGAGGTGTAATGAACATGCTGTGGAGTTCCGGGAAACCGGAACTCATCCAATCCCGCGGCCACATGGCCTTGAACATGAGATAGCCAGGGCTGCCGTTTTAGCCAGGCTGCGCACTGACACGATGATGGTCCTGCTGATGTGAGGAGGTAATTGTCCTGAAACAACGAGTAGTTCCACATGACTGTATGGACTCGAGGATGAGGGGTCTCCGCCAACTTCGTGCTGGGCAAGTGGAATGGAAGAGCCCAGTTGCGATGGTCGAGAACCAGCCGACGAAGGACTTCCCTGGTGGACCGCTGATACTGGGGATGAGAAAGCCACGGTAACCGCAACAACAAGTTGATCTTGGGTTGTTGGAGTTGGCGGAAATCAAGAACTCTTCGCAAAATATTCCGAACTCGATGCCGATGGGGCTGTTCCACATTGCCTGACAGCCTGTATATAGCATATATATCCAAGTCTGAGTGCCGTCCACTACGAAGTCGTTTTTCCTCCTCCCAAGATTCAATGTGCTCCGAGGTGAGGCGACCGATGATGGACCAGGCTTGGGTGTGTTTGAGTGCCACCCGATGGAAGTTCCTACCGTAGACTGTACAACTCCTCCTGCGCAAGCGGAGGAAAAGGCGTTTGCCGAACCTGGACCAGGGCTGTTCGGCGAGAAACCTGGTAGCCGTGTAGCCTGTGGAGATGCGCTTATACCGCCGATAGATGTAGGGCCAGTTGAGGGAGGGCTGATAGATGCTAATCAAGGCGTGTTCCTGTGTCCAGGTCACGGTATGGTCGGAGTCTGTGAATATCACCCATGTAGCGAACTCGTCATAGTTGCCAAAATGATGCCACCATCTGAGGGCCGGCTCTGCATTAATAAACTGTCCGTGCTGAATACCCAGTAACTTGGCCCTACGATTGTGTTCTCGACTGGGATAAGTGATGCTGGTGCTTCCAATGTATACGTCCGACTGCGGATTGACTGAGCGTGGAAGGTCCGGGCGGAGTTCGACTCGCTGCTTCCAGTACACTGCGTTGGGCTGCAAGAAGTGGGTGAAGGTGTACATGTTCGGGTGGATGCGCTGACGCCGGAGTCGGCGCCTGAGCTCCGTGAGCGCATGCGTGGGACGACCGTAGTGGTGGACCATCAGCAGCGTGGACATTGACTCGGACCACATGGACAGTTGCTTGTTGACCATCGGCATGTTAAGGATTTGGCGACTTGTGACGACGATCAGATAGAGAACCTGATAATACTGATGGGCTGCATGCACATCGAGGGAGTCCCCGAGTCTGATCGCAATGAGCGCAACGATGTAAGGAAGGAAATAGTCGGTACCATGTTGCAAGCTCACCGGCCAGGACGGCTCAGGAATACCATAGTGTCTGGCTGCACTGTAAAGCTCCGACAGTGCGTACTTGCTATATAGTTGCAAAAGAAAAACCGTTTCTGGAGATTGAATGACCGGCATGGCTTAGCCATGCATCCAACGCTCGAGCACTGAACGGTTGATTGGGTCAACAGAAAAAACGGAAAACCCGAAAAACCCGAAAAAGGAACCCGCGACCCCGAGAACCGACAGGAAAACGAAAAGGATAAAAGGCCGTTGATGGTCTCCGGGCAAGGTGCAGGCGTGAGGAGCAGCGGGCTTTTCATACCAGTCGTGTCGATGGTGCTAACTTCCTTCTTCGTCTGTGCTACCGTCACTCCCCTCACTTGCCATACATGTACATCACCGTGATGAACTGCAGGAGTGCTCGCTTCGATCCTTTGCTCACTAAGGAGATGGTGGCCCCCCACTTGACTGCAATGGTTTTCAACTGCTCCACTGTGTCCGATGCCAGCTCCTGCTTGATGAGGTCAAGGTAGGTCGCTTGGTTGGACAGCGTGCGTTCGTGTAGCCATGCCTTGAAGACCTTGTCCGTGAGACTGGTGGGGAGTGGCACCTGTTGACCTTTGGGGTTCCCTTGACGTAGAAGGTCCGAGTCTAGAGTGACATCCGGAGGAGCCGCCGGGGTCTTTCTCTTTGCTGGTCGTCGCTTAGGGGCTGGATCAGCCTCTGGAGATGGAACTGGTAGGGGAGGTCCTGACTGATCCGAGTTGGCCGCATTGATGTAGAGGGACTGGTCAGAGCGGCCGGGCGTGGGGGTCCAGGACGCGGCATTGGAAGGGGACGAGGACGGCAGCTTCTTATCTGGTGTAAGAGTGATGCCCTTGCTCTTGTAGCGCTCCAGCTGTTGCTCTAATTCGGCAATTTTGTGGCGAGTGAGGTTCTCCTGCTTGGCGGGCTGCAAGGACTCCATGAGATCCACGATTTTGATTGCAAGTGGCTCCATAAACTGCATGGCCTCATTGCGCTTATCCGGCGCATTGTCCGCGTGGAGAGAGCGAGCTGTCCTGTCAATGTCGACCTCCCTGCCTCTCAATGCTTTGAGAATGGATGTCAATAAGACTGCCTCGGCTATCGTCTGAGCCATAACTGGTGTGCTGTAGCGGCCATTTGATAGTGCTCGTAATGCGTGATCTTCTGCTCCTCCTCGAAGAAGTCGCGTGAGTGGAAGATCCAGGATGGCTGTTCCTGCGAGCCCAACTCTTCTGGACCACTGAGTGGGCTGAACGTGACGGTACAGCTGCAGACCACGGACCTCCGTCTTGTCTAGGAAGATGTCGTCAGATTGGAAGGTGCTGGGAAGCAGCTGCGAATATCGAGGCTGAGTGTATTGCGTTGCATCACCCTGGCCTAGAGGTGCCCGAACTGGAGGTTGAACTGGCGGTGCGGGTGGTGGAGGACGAGGACCTGTCTGCGTGTGACTTGTTCCACCACCGTGATAGTTGTAAAATTGACCGGGTGGTTGAGGAGGAAACTGATGAGCCATCTGTGGGGGCCGAGGGGGATTGACTCGGGACGGTGCTTCCTCGCGAAGTTGATGTTGCGAAGGTTCCGTCCGATTGGAGCTGAGATATGCCTCCTGCTGGGACTGCGGAAATGACCATGACGGTAGATACGAGTGTCCCGGATGCGAAGAGGAAGAAGGTGCCGATGTCGCCGGCCATGAATAGCTCCACGGAGAAGCCATCACGAGATAGGAGGTTGCCGCCCGCACTGCTAATGGGTTAAACGCTAGGGGTACGCCACACATTTCCAAAACAACAACCATGCCAAAACGACGCCCGAATTCCGTCCGGGCCCAGGGTGGTGAGCGACCAGAAAACAGCATTAGCTACACAAAACTTCAAAAAAGGAACCCTGCAGCAAGGTCAGCACATACTCGGATCAGGCTCTGGCGTGCACTTTTTGTCGCAAAATATCGTCGGTAGTCGAAGACGGCAGTGTGGCGAAGTATGCTCTTATTCGCAATGAAACATCATTAATTGTCATTGGCTGCAAATGCTCCTGGTGCAGGTTCACGAGCGGAGGACACCAGTGGGCGGTTTTGCATCGGTGGGCCATGCGAGTCCAACGATCTGGCTTGCCTCCGGGATCACCATCCAACACTTGCCCGACACATAGTGGATAACATCAGGACGTTCACTGGAGTCCAGGGCCTCAATGCAAGCTTGCTCTCCTCCCGATCGAATCGGTTGACAAGTGCCAACAGCGCGTCCGAACAACAGCAATTGAGCCATGTTAAAAGACATGCTCCAGTTCTGGCTCATCGTGCGAGCGGTTTCTTCAGCGTCGTAGTCGGCGTGTCCAGTGATCTTCCAGCCCTGGGCATAAAAGGCTGGGCACTCCGAGGAGTGCTGCCGGGAAGGATGGATCTGTCGGCTCCGCAGGATGCCGCGGGTACCTCCAACACTGGAAGCGTGAGTCCAGAGCAGCATGGGTCGCGTCTTCGTCGGTTCTTTGAGCCGGACCGTGGCCCCAAGATAAGGGACCGTCAGCATGAACCAGTGCGGGGTGATCTTATAAAAATGATGATCCGGGTTGACCTTCGCATAGTTCAGGGTGGAATGCTGAGACGGTATGCCTGCTGCATTCAAGGTCGCGGCCACATAGCTCATCTGCTCCTGATTGACTGGGATCCCATCGCGAAGATATGGTGCTGCCAGCACCTGAAGTTCGTTCCTCCAGGGATCAGACTCCGGGTTGGGAAGCAAGACCAGCGGTGGATGTGCCTGTGGATTGGGGCGTAGTTGCATGCTCCTCGAGGACGACCCCACATCCGGGCGAGCTCCTGCGGCCTTGGAGGCTGAAGCTGACGGGGCACTGCTTCTGCTACGCGGAAGGGGAGATCGATTGCTTCTCGGTCGTCGGGATGAAGCTTTAGTTGCCGTAGGTGCCCGGGATGAGGACTTGGCTGCTGTGGGCGTCGGCGCGGTAGCATTCGATGCTTCCGTCACGGTGTTGTCCGATGTTGAGTCCCTTCGGGAGATCGGAGGTGGCGTCCGGGAGCGAGCTCGGCCTCGCCGCTGTGGGGGCACTGACTTGGAGTAGGGGGAGGCGTTGTGGGAACGTGACCGGTCTCCCTCCGTCGTGTGGCGTAATCTGGATGGTGGGTTGGGCGGTGGAAGCATCTGACCTGATGGGGTTGCCGTAGGGATCGGTGTGATAGGGGTCGGTGCTGTGGGCATAGGTGGGCATGCTGTAGTTGAAACTGTCGGGGTAGTTGGCGTCATCGGAGTCATTGGTCTCATCGGTGTGGCCGGGCGTGCTTTCACCAGAATTTGCGGCAGTGGGCCAGCTACAGATGCAGGCCAGACCTCCAAGGTAGGGACCGATGCCGATGCGTCTCCAGGAGCAAGAGCCGGGACCGCTGCTTTGGCAGCCCTTGAGGCGTTGGACACCTCGCAAGATGTCCTCGAAGCTGGTGTCACAAGCGTACTCCTGCTCGGTGATGCTGACTGGTGCACTGGAGACCTGGGCGGCGTAGGGCCGGCAGTGTTCCTGGATGCCTTGGCCATGGGGCCTGCCGAATTCGACATCGGACCTGCGTGGGGGCGAGACATCTAGTGCCAACAATTGCGAGCCAAGACCAAGCTGACGGCGTCGTGATTTTCCACCTGATGTGTCGGGTAGTCGGATGGGTTGTCAAACAGTTGGTCTGACAGAAACGGTTCACGGAAACAGTCTGGGGTGCCGGAAGGTCTGGGAGAGGTCCAAGCCTGTATTGATAAGATCAGCTGGAACAGTCAAGCGTCACGAGCGACAAGGTCCGGTAACAGTCTGTAGAAAATGTCTGAGCATGAGTCGGAACAGATGCCCCCAAGAGGGATCAAGACACTGACCGAAGCCCGGACGCAGTGCCTAAACACACTTGATATGAGACGGCGAAACTGCCAAGGTGCACCCCCAAGCAACTGAAAGGTGAAAGGTGAAAAGAGGAGTTTCGGCTTGACGTAAGCCCGGTAATTGTTCATCCTGCCGGCAATCCTCATCAGGAACGCCATCTGCCAACAGGATTACTGCATTCCGGGGCATTCGTCAAGGTGGCGTCCGACTCCAATAAAGAGAGAAAAGCACGACCGCAAAACCCCTTAGGAACAGGGGGGCCACACACACACACACACACACACACACACACACACACACACACACACACACACACACGCACACACACACACACACCAAACAAAAGAATCACGTTTATGGGACGGCGCTAGCTGGGACTCTAAACGGGGGAAAGCGATTCGCTTCCGGTTTCCTTTCCGTTTCCGCCACTCTCCGCCTGAAGATCGAGATCTGCCTCTCCTGGCACTCCAAGTGCACAAGCTTGCGGTTAATTTGTTGCAGCCAGCTGGATGTACCAACAAAAAGAAAGACTCAGCCCTGTGTGGCTCGGTTGTTCTGAGTTGGCACCTCTTTTTTGCGGACTTGAAAAAGGACGGCACAAATTTCAGCCAAGGCCAGCCACACCTTTTTTCGCCTGAATCCAGCTCCTGAATGGTGGCGTGACACAAGACCTGAAGTCTGGCTTGTCTGGTTAGATGATGCCACTGCTCATGGTGAATTGCGCAACCCGTCGACCATCAGCTTGATGTTTCAACTATTTCCAGCAATGAACCAGCAAACAAATGATATTCGCTCCCGGAGATCATTGTCATGCCTCAGGCTGGCGGTGGTGCTGGTGCTGGAACTGGTGCTGGAACTGGTGCTGGTGCTGTACTAGTGGTAGTGGTAGTGGTTACTACTGCTGCTGCTACTACTACCACCACTGCCACTACCATAACCACAACCACCACCACTACCACTACCACTAGCACTACCACGACCAATAGCACTACCACTACCACTTCCCACAACCACTCCAACAACTACTACCAGTACCCCTACTACTGGCACTACCACTATCCCTAAGCACTAGCACTACCGCCAGCACTAGCACTAGCACTAGCACTAGCACTAGCACCACTATCAGCACCACCACTACGACGACAACAACAACTACGACGACTCCTGCTGCTGCTGCTGCTGCTACTACTACTACTACTACTACTACTACTACTACTACTACTACTAGTACTACTACTACCACTACCACTACCACTACCACCACCACCACCACCACTACTATACTACTACTGCTGGTCCTTCCAACCCTCGGCCCCTCTCCTGGTGGATGAGCCGCTTGATGACGCTGGTAGCTTGGCCATCCGGGAATCGGTCACCATCCAACTCCAAGACTGGCTCTCCGCTAAGTGACACCACGCGGATGAACATGCTTTGAGCTTCCGCGCCGGCGACATGGATCAATCTGCCATACTAAGCTGGGGTTGAATGGGCTGGACCCCCAAAACCGTTCGAATAAGGCACCTGCAAGGGATCCGCGAAATCGGAGTGAATTGGTATCATTCACCACCCGGAAAAAGTGAACAGGCACCTGTGAAACGAACCCTCGGCAAGACCCATGAACCCAGGGGGCCCATTTGAGAAGGGATCCTTCCCACTGAAGGCGCACGCCACTGCATAGACTTCCAACTCTTGGTCGGCCCTTGACGCCCTGCTGTGGTGTCCCGCTTCGCAAGGCTGTGGGACCCCCCACACCCCAACAAGGCCAGAGAAGGCACCTGTCGTAGAGGAACGTCGAACCCTGAAGACGGATCCCTGCATCTGCATCCAAAAGGGGGGAGGGGATCCAAAACCAACGCCTTCGATCCCTGCCTTTAGCGCGTAGCAGCCCTCCTGAAACACGGGCCAGGTGGAAAGAAGCCTATGGACAAAACCAATGGCGCTGGTAAATGAATAGAACCAAAGTGAAACCGGTGGAGTCCAAGAAGAGGACACCTAGGGGCCCATGGGCCCAAGGTTTGAGGTTTGAAGGACCAGACGGCTATGTTCACATCAGGTTCCCACAAGGAACCGATGGATGTCCCTTATGGGAACTCCCATGGCTCTAGTGATTCCTTTTCCATTCTTTTCAACCATCGTTCTTTCCCAAAACCGGATCCGTTTTCCCTAGGTTTCCGGAGGTTTTCTAGAAAGAAGGATCCCTGGCAAGAATGGGGAAGGTACCCCTAGAATGATCAAGTTTCCTCCGAGGGCATGGTGGCGATGTATGGGAACAGGTACCTCTCAAACCCATCTCTTTCAGCCCCAAATCAGTCGGCGGCTCTCCTGCAATTGGGGACCAGCCGTTTAAAGCGCCGGTCAGTTGACGACCAATGAAGGCTTCAAAAGAATCCTTCTTCTTGATATCCTTGCGATACCATTGAAAGGAATAAGGGAGAGGGTTCCCGGGCAACAGGTCCATTCTAGGATCCCCTGCGGGTTACGAAAAGTTCCCCAACCCTTACACCACCAATTGGAAGGAAGCTGAGTTTGCTTAAACCCTTGAAAGTTCCTCTGCTGCCGGTGGGTGGGGTGGGATTAGGAAACCCTTTCAAGTGGGAAGAGTGCGGAAATGAGTCTTTTGGTCTTCAATTTGGTTTTCCCTTGGGCTTCAAACGCTGCTTACTTGGCGCGGATGTCTGTTGGGAGCAGACAGATCGAGAGAAAGCTCGAGGGGTCTGGCCGTGACGAAAACGGGCTTCGCAGAAAAACACCATGTAGCAAAGAAAAGACCTGGGCATATACCATGGGTGCGTCCATTCTGGGTGAATCAAAATCAGGCAACGTTTCGCCAACCTTTCAAACAAGGAAGGGGGCCTTCTTTCTGGTTCGATCGACTAGCACCTTTGTGAGGTCCCAATCCCTGGTCTTATGAACCGGCTCCTCTCCGGAGATCCTGGGCGAGTCATTGTCTTTCGGGGTCCATGGAACTGTTGCTTTGTTGTGAACAGTGCGGTTTACTAGGCAGAAGTATGGATGACGTCGGTAGGTGAATATGTACGTAGGTATGCAATGTAATGTAATGTAATGAAATGTTATGCCACGTTATACCATGTTGTCTCATGTCATGTCATGTCATGTCATGTCATGTCATGTCGTATGTATGTATGTATGTATGTCTGTCTGTCTGTCTGTCTGTCTGTCTGTCTGTCTGTCTGTGGGTGTGGGTGTGGGTGTGGGTGTGGGTGCGGGTGCGGGTGTGGGTGCGGATGCGGGTGCGGGTGCGGGTGCGGGTGCGGGTGCGAGTGCGCGTGCGGGTCTCTGTCTGTCTCTGTCTGTCTCTGCCTGTCTCTGCCTGTCTCTGTCTCTGTCTCTGTCTCTGTCTCTGTCTCTGTCTCTGTCTCTGCCTCTGTCCTTGTCTCTGTCTCTGTCTCTGTCTCTGTCTCTGTCTCTGTCTCTGTCTCTGTCTCTGTCTCTGTCTCTGTCTCTGTCTCTGTCTCTGCCTCTGTCTCTGTCTCTGCCTGTCTCTGTCTGTCTGTCTCTGTCTGTCTCTGTCTGTCTGTCTGTCTGGCTGGCTGGATGTATGTATGTATGTATGTGTGTATGTACGTATGTATATAATCATGTGTGTAGGTGCATCTGTATGTATGCACCCATGTATGCATGTATTGTGCATTCATGCATGCATTGCGGGCAATGCAATGCAATGCAATGCAATGCAATGCAATGCAATGCAATGCAATGCAATGCAATGCAATGCAATGCAATGCAATGCAATGCAATGCAATGCAATGCAATGCAATGCAATGCAATGCAATGCAATGCAATGCAATGCAATGCAAGCATGTATGCATGCATGCATGTATGTAGGCTTCAATTTAATGTAATACAATGCAATGTAATGCGATGCAATGCGATGCAATGCGATGTAATGTAATGTATGTTATGCAATGCATGTCTGCCTTTCTGTATGTTCGTCCGTACGTAATGGAACGTATCGTAACATAACGCAACGTAACGTAGCGTAACGTATGTACGTATGTACATACGTACGTATGTACGTATGTACGTATGTACGTATGTACGTATGTAGCGTGCGTGCGTGCATGCATGCATGCATGTATGCATGTATGTATGTATGTTAGGTAGGTATGTATGTATGTATTCATGTGCCTATGCAAGAGCATGCTATCCTAAACCTGCGTTGAGCTGGATGTTCCGTTGCGAGCGGGACCACAGTAGTGGATGCGTCTTTACATTTGGTTGTCTTTTGGGGGCAAAAGCTTCCATTACGAATGACATGCTGCGACGTTGTGGCTAAATGAACAGGAATGCCCTGCCCTTGCCAAACAACCACTCAGATCGATTTGAGGGAGCCGAGCAATTGCAAGTTGAACGCTACCATTCACGAAAAACATCGGCACTAAGCGGATTTGGGCTCCAGGTCTGGCGAATTTGGGCCCCCCAGGTGCTCCGCAGCCACCCTTCTCGAAGCCACCGGTGGTTTTTGAGCGAAAACGCCCGAAGCCACCCGAACACCATATCTGAGCGCAGTTCTATTCAATCTCAGAAATTCCAAAGACAGGCATCTTCATGGGAGGAGAAGCAGTTTTAAGTTTAACCCCTGTTCCAGAGCTCGTGCAGAAATACCCATCCCATTCACATGGCCCCTGAAACGAAGACAGGGCCTGCATCCGCTTTCAATCATCACCCGAGATGACACTCGGACCCTCCATAAACAAACTCTGGGGGTTTTCACCTGGCCTTTCGCCAATGAGGCGCATCTTGTTCTGGAGGCACCCCGTGGCAAAGGGAAACCCACAAACCGGGGGAAAAAATAGTGGGGTCTCAAAATGGAGACTCGGAGGTTTCTTTTTCAAAGGGATCCCCTAAAATGGCAAAGGGGGGTCATTTTGGTTTACAACCATAAGGGGTCCACCAGTTGCTGTCTTGTTTTTGTTCGAACCCCAGTGGACTTTTGATGCTCCTCTCCAGAAAAAGGCACCCTCAACACACACACACACACACACACACACACACACACGGACACACACACACACACAGACACACGGACACACACACACACACACACACAGCAGGGGCAGGCCTCCCACTGGGCAGTGTTGGTTGCGAAATTCCCACTGCCATAGGTGGCCTTTCGCAAAAATCGATGGGTTTCCCTGGTAAATAGAACCAAACCCATCTAAACCAGTGGAACCCATTGATTCTTTTCCGGGCTCGCCTAAAAAGGCTAAGTCCTCCAGTAGAGAGGTTAGAATAAGGGTACCCTTTTTTTCTGTAGTCTATTCTAGTAGGGGAACCCTCCCCCAAAAAAAATCGGCAACAGGGCACTGGGAGACCTAGGACACCTATGCCCACTGCTCGTAGCCCTCTTGCCGAAGGCGCTGCAGGCGCCAGCAGTCGCCCTCCTCCTCCATGGCCTCCACCGTGCCCGAGTGGAAGGCCGTCGCCGAGAGGTTCCGCGCGTAGGAGCCGTAGTATTCCTACGGAAAAACCGGAGAAAAACCGACCGCGCGCGGCTGGCGCCAAATCCAAAAAAGAGAATGTGACCTGCACGCTGGGTGGGGTTCGATGTGTTAATACACACTAGAATATACAATGTTTGGTGTGTGACCCTCTGTATATATATATATATATGGCATATATATATATATATATATACATACTATATCTACATATATATATATATATATACATACACGTGTATATGGATAGATGTGTGTGTGTGTGTATTAATGTATATGCATTGCATGCATAACACATACTTCCTACTTCCTCCCCACGCTTGTGGCGTTCCTCACAACACAGCCAGTTATGCTCCCTGCATAGTTCTAGTCTGCAGCATGCAAGTACGTTTCTCAAACAAAGCGGATCGGCGAATTGCCGTAGCCGTCGCACATGGGAGAACCCACACCCCACCATACCCCACCCCGGTGGGCGGCAGGCTTCTTCCCGAACACGTCAATTCGCTTTGGGCATTTGTTTGTCGAGCGCTTTTTCGTTTCCCATGTCCTTCATTACTTTGGGAGAATACCACTAAATAGGTCTGTCTTTTTTTGAGGCTACCCCCCCTCAGCGGTTTGAAGGTTTTAAAGGAAAACCAGAGAAGAAAACAAACTCCATTCTGGGGGTCCAACCTAAAAAAGAGACTTTGCCCCCCGAATGCGCGTTAAAAAACCGGATTCCTAGTAGACTATCGTTGATTTACACCATTTTGGGGGAGTCCCCCCAACAAATGACAGGACTCACATGGCCCTTCAGCTTGAGTCGAACCCCCCCCTTCCGAGGCACGGCCACCAGCCACCGCGGCACCCGGGCATTGCTCAGCGCCTGCGCGCTGCCGTAGTACCGCAGGAGCTTCTTGGCCTCGACGTTTTTTCGACAAGGAGCGCCCCACTTTTGGCGTTTGGAAACCAACAGGCGAACCCAAATCCAGTTTGGGGAAGTCCCAGTTTTTTCTCAAGCCGCTGGACTGGGCGGTCCGTTCTCGGCTAAAGGCTAAAAGTGTGTAACTTGCGGATGAAATGGACACCCCAACCAGAAACCCCTTTAACAAAAAAACACGAAGTGGACGTGTCCGAGCCATTTCTTTCTCGGAAGCTCCAAAAGTAGGGGTAGTTTCAAGGGAAACTACCAGTAAACTGATCTCCAATGACCCCTGCCCCATTCTGATGTCCACAGGCTTAATTAACGTTCATGGCCCGCCAGCAAGGAATAATCCTCACTGGAAAAGAACCCAACTTCCCAGAGCCTTGCCAAACCAGGCCTCAACCAAAAAGCCAAACCCTGGTGGTGGGTAGCCCGAGCTGGTCAAAGTTCGTGGGGTCATCCCCAGAAAAGAACTTTACATTTCACATTTTACCTTGGTCAAAATTCCCCCCAGAAAGACTGGGTCCGGGAGCATTCCTATCAACAGCATCTTTGACTTCAAGGGATAGCCACCCCAAACACCAGGTGTTATGTCAAAACCCCAACCGAAATAGCTAGGCACGCGACTGGTTGTCCTTTCCTCGCCCTTGCCTTAAGGGGAGCCAAACTTGGGACGTGACTGGTTGATCTCGCCTCGTCGGAGGCGTTGGTGCGCAGATGCTCGTCCAGGGAATGGCCTCCACTCAAAAAGCACGCAGAAACGGGTTGGGGGGGGTGGGGGGAGCATGCTCGGTTACAAAGCGTGCTTGATGCCATGCTTTACGGGCTTCACTGGTATGTCTCTCGGTTTCTGCATGGCCGGAGAACCAGCAGGCATGCGTCAGCACTGCGCAAGTCGGTCAATGTTTAAACAGATGATTGCATTTTTGTACAAGGACTGCATACCAAGAGGGGGCCAAGTAGCCAAAGCCTCACAATTTTCTGGAGGTTCCGACAGGGCAATTCTGAAGCATGTGGCATTCTGCCACAGTCATGTTCCGGAGTCTTTGTCCAGGGCTGTCAGATGGATCTGTTTCTAAATGTGGGGTGCCTCAATGGCAACAGTCAAACCAAGCAAAAGGTGATTCCTAATAACAAGGATCCCTGCATAGGTGAGGTCACTTTGCTACCAAGCATGCGCACTTTAAGGGGAAATCATTGGGGGAGGGGGGAACCCCTCAGAATGTGGCTGAAACCAACCTGGAATACCGCACGGAACTGTCCCAGTCTCAAAATGGCCAGTGACCTCAGTTGCGTGTGCCTCTATTGAGACATGCCCAGATGCGTAAGCACAAACCTGTTTCAACAACACCCCATATGCGAGTATATCTGCGAATGGAAATACAAAGCAAAGCAAAGAAAGCAAAGCAAAGCAAAGAAACAAATGTTCGAAGAAAAAAGCAAGCAAGCAAGCAAGCAAGCAAGCAAGCAAGCAAGCAGGCAGGCAGGCAGGCAGGCAAGCAAGCAAGCAAGCAAGCAAAACCAAAAGACAAAACTAAAACAACAGAACACAACACAACACAACACAACAGAACAGAACAGAACACAACACAACACAACACAACAGAACAACACAACACACTCAAACAAACAAACAAACAAACAAACAAACAAACAAACAAACTAACTAACAAACAAACAAACAAACTAACTACAAACAAGCAAACAAGCAAACAAGCAAACAAACAAACACAACACAAGCAAGCAAGCAAGCAAGCAAGCAAGCAAGCAAGCAAGCAAGCAAGCAAGCAAGCAAGCAAGCAAGCAAGCAAGCAAGCAAGCAAGCAAGCAAGCAAGCAAGCAAGCAAGCAAGCAAGCAAGCAAGCAAGCAAGCAAGCAAGCAAGCAAGCAAGCAAGCAAGCAAGCAAACAAACACTTCAAACAAGCACGCAAGCAAACAAACTCAAGTAACATGACATGACACGGCATGACATTACATGGCACGACGCAACACAACATGCGTAGCATGACATAACACACCGCAGCACAACAACAAAATGGCATGACGTGCCGAAACAAAGCCAAACCATAACATCACATAACATGACAAACAAATCGACAAGCACACAATCAGACAGGCAAACCAGCAAGCAAGCAAGCGAGCTAGCAAGCTAGCTAACTAGCTGACTAGCTAACGAGCTAACTAGCTGACTAGCTAACTAGCTGAGCAAGTAAGCAAAAGACCAAAAACTGGGGAAAACATACATACATAAATACATAGAAACAATATTTGTATGTATATATATATATAGTTACTAACAAACGGACGAACTAACTAGCCAGCTATGCAAGTAGCATACATTCGAACAAACGCCCCCAGCCGGTCTCGCTTGGCTTGGCCTGGCAAGTCCATCCAGCTGCCAGGGGACAGCGTCACCGTGGACGGGGACATCGACTGCCAGCTGCCGCCGGGCGGGCCCCGGCCTCGCGCATCGGGTGGCGGGGTCATCGGTCACTGGATGCCTCGAAAAGGGGCGCCTTCCAGGGAAAATCCCACAAGTAGTTGGGACCTGGACTGCCCGAAAATCCCAAAAGTTGGGACCTGGGGCGTTTTGGAGGCCAGTTCGGCATCTGGCCCCCCAAAGCAAGATCTGAACATTCCGTTGGATGTGGCTGGATTCCCAATTTGGCTTTTGGCCCCAAAAAGATCTGAACCTTCAGTTGCTTTCGGGCCCAGCTGGAAGCCAGCAAGAGGGCTGGCACGACAGATCCCAGGCGCCCACCACGGCGTGGCGCAGCAATGGCTTCAGCTGACCGTAGCGCAGCAGCGAGTCCCCGACCCCGTCGCCGCCGGGGAAGCGCAGAGCGTCCACCAGCGCCGCCTCACTCGTCTCGGCGCTCGGCTCGGGGCTCGGGGCTCGGGGCTCGGGGCTCGGGGCTCGGGGCTCGGCAAGCCGAGCGGACCAGGGCTAGGGCGAGCGACCCCCTTTTGCAGCTGCAAAAACCCCGCTGTTCACCACGTATTGATTTAAAAAGTCCACACGATTTTAGGTTGCCTTCTGAAGGTGGCTAGGCTTGGGCAAAGTGCGCCTCCCCTTGAAGTGAGAAACCAAAAGGATGTTGTTTAAACCCATGTATGTTTTTGCCAGCCCCACTGCACTTGTTGGAACCTCCCACGCATTTTAACCCCTCCCTCCCCTCCCAACTCGTGTCTATCTTCAACCCACCTGTCTTCCAAACTCACCCCCTGCCCTCAGCTCCCAGCTCCCAATTTGCGCCTTCTCCCTCGAAACCGAGGCCTCCAGTGAACATCCCAATCCAACCACTAAAATCCCGACCAAAATGGGTGGTGCATTCACCCGCCCCCACCAAAATGGGATCCCAAAACGGCTTTGACAACCACGGCCACCTCTCCGGGGCGCGCTGGGGTTCACGCACCGCCGCTGGATGTCCTCCCCGAACAACGCGGCCTCGTCCAGCGCCCTGCCTGCCAGCCGCCGGGCGGCCGCGTTGACCTAGGTGCCCCCGTTGCCTCCCACCTTGCTCACTGCCTTCTCTGAATTGTTCCACAGCTGAAAGCTTTGGGGTCTCAGCCCAGATAGGCTCCGGGTGGTCCGGGACGGCCCTGAGGTAAGGTTCCATGAGGGTTCCACCAGGGTTCCACCAAGGTTGCACCAGGGTTCCGCGAGGTTCTGCGAGGGCTGCGGGGTGGTGCAAGCACTGAAAAGAGCACCGCATGCTGTTGGGGATGTCACCTGAGCTTCTGTCTTTGTTTGGTAGTACACACACACACACACACAACGCACCAACCAGATTCTGGCAATGTGCGCAAACTTGTAAGTTCTACCAAAAAGGTTAAGATATACGTGTCCCTTTGCAAGTTCTTCACTCTTTGAGTTCTGCGACACTTGGACACAAGATCTTGCGAATGGTTCCAGCTACTCGTTGCCACGGAAGCTACCAGGTAAGATGATTTTCCTCCAGCCCTCTGGTGAGTTCCGGGTAGTGCCAGTGCACGTTTGGTAACCCCTCCCCCCCTTGTTATTGTTCCAGATTCGCACCAATAATAATACTATACCCACAAAACCCTGCCCGATCAGGTTTTGTCTCCTGGCTGCTGCAGGCCCGTTTGGATGCTTTTTAAAAGGCCAGACAAGGGCGGGAATAAAGATTTTCATCGCCAAGCTTGCCCAAAAAGTCGTCTCAGATTCGCCCACGCAAAAACGCGTGGCCTTTGCTCATCGTCCCATGTCCAGCTTCCGAAATGGGTGGAGGGCCGCACACACCCGGCTGGGTTCTATTGTTGTACCCGGCTTGTGGCTGACCCGATCGGGCCGATAGAAAAGAAAGCAGTCAGACTGCGCTTCGCCCGGATCTGGCGGCAATAGGCCGCCCTAGAGTTCTAAGCTTCTGCAGCCAGATGTTGCTCCCATGTCCCTGCCTGAGAGTGACCGCCCTTGAACGTGGATCGTGACTAGATTGGATGTATGGCTCTGAGAATGTGTCATCGCGTACTCGAAACCCAATTTCCCTGATTGATATTGCAAGAGTTTTTGCCGCTACTTGTTTATTCCGCTCAACCGCAGCCTGCACCACCGTCTTCACGTCACACTTGCGCAATCTGAACTTACGAAACCCAGCGTTATCGGCCAGGCAGCTGGCTGCGGCACATCCACGTGGTTCTGGATCTTTCTGACCCTTTTGGTGTAACCAAGGAGTGCAACTCTGCTTCTCCTTCAGGCTGTTCTGGAAACACTGTGCGCATGCGTCAAACGTAGCAACACATGCGCAAAACACTGGCACCACAGATTGGAGTTCGTTGAGTCTTCTCATAGCAGCCTTCGGGATGTAAGCAGCCCGTTCCCTCTTGACTTCACTCCCAAACAGACCAAACACGCATTGAAAACACGGCCACGTCAGGACGATCTGAACACCTCAGCCTGCCTCGTGGATCCCAAATAGAAAGAAGCGACAACCTCACAACTACCCCTGTAAATGCGCGCTCTGGGCCCCAAAAAATAATATTCAGAACCCTCCCATTAAAAGCAGAAGCAACAAAACCCCACGCCACGCGCATTTCTCAGCCGCCCCAAAGTTCAGCTCTGAGTCTGCGGACTTTTCGGCGCCGATTTTCTGGGGCTCCGCACAGCGGGGTCCCGGGACAGCGGTGGGTTCCGGAGCACCTGACGTCAGACGGGTCGGGTGGGTTGGGCGGGGGGTGAAGTGGGGGTTGGGTGGGGTTGGGTGGGGTTGGGTGGGGTTGGGTGGGGTTGGGTGGGGTTGGGTGGGGTTGGGTGGGGTTGGGTGGGGTTGGGTGGGGTTGGGTGGGGTTGGAGGGAAGGGTAGGGGTTGGGTGGAGGGAGGGGTAGGGGTTGGGTGGAGGGAGGGGGGGTGGAGGGAGGGGGGGGTGGAGGGAGGGGGGGGTGAAAGGGCGTTGATGAATCATGTTCCCCCATGATTTGGATGTTTGGCAGTCAGAAAGCGACGGCTTGCCGCCGTGGGGGGTTACGACTCCGCTGCCGCGAATGACAGGGCAAGAGCTCCATGTACGATTTATAAGTGGCTATCACCTAGGCCGCCAACAACTGACTATCTTGGCACTCCGCAGCCTTTAGAGGTTGGGCATCATGGAGCCAAACTTCCTCCATCGAATCATCCTCACCATCCAACATGGAAGCTCACCGGGATGTTCCTCCGCCCCTTGCGTGGGTTCCCTGTTGGTCCGTCCGAAGCGAAGTCAAAACCGATCGCCTGAGGTCCCAGTTCCCAAAATCGGCTTCCGCGTGGTGGCCCATGGCGGCTTGGCACAGGTCTCAGCTCGAGAACTTTTAGAATACGGAGCCTTGGACATCGATGTGCAACCCATGCAAGGGGCTCCAACCCTCCAAACTAAAATCTCCAAATCTGAAGGTACTTCGTCGGCCCTCGCAAGATCTACCCTGCCCCTTTGATTGCACTGGAACACTCCTGTGCTTCCCTTCATTGGCATCAGGTGAATGTCACAAAATTACTTTCAGGGTTCAATTTGGTGATAACATCTCCCTGCCAAAGTGGCCCTGTGGAGTGTCAGTCGCCAAGGGCATTCCAACCCTTTGCCTCTAAGAAGCAATGCTCGAAATGTTTGGGAACATAGAAAAATCTAAACACATATCAACAGTTCTAAACATATTTCTAACATAGGAATAAGCAATTCTATATATGTGTCTACATGAAGTCCAAAAACAACTAAGCACGTTAGAGGCTAGAAGCCACAAACAAAAGCTGGCTTGATTTTGCCGATCCTCTCAGCAGCAGCAAACATAGCCTTTCGGAACCTTCTGTCTAGCCAAAATCTCCTAGCTACATGAGGCAAACAGAAGGCTGTTTGTTGAGAAACCCTGAGCTCTCCCTCTAAAAAAACCAGGCCCAACAAGCAGGAAAGAGGGGGAACATCAGATGCGGTTGGTGTCCTCCCCCCTCAACCCCCTCCACCCCCCCCCCCCAAACAAAAAAAAACAAGAAGGCTGTGGCTCCACCCCCCCCCCCCGAAGAAAAAAGGCCTCCCCAACCAGTGGCTCGCTTTTTATCAAAAAAAAAAAACGAACCGAACCAACGGCACCCTCTCCAAGCTGCCTCGGGCACCAGCCCGCTCAAGGCGGCGGCCAAGGCCAGCCCGCTCGGGCCATTGCCTCACGAGGTGAAATCACCTCAAGCCTCCACAAAGCTGAAAACTGCTGGATACATGATCACTAACTTATACATATATTTATATATATACTATCTTACATACATACATATATATATATATATATATATACACATATACATTCCATGGTCCAATATAATACATATATATATATATATATATGTATACATATATGAATATGTATGTCTGTATACATGTGTTCATGCATAAATGTATATCGTACCAAAAAACATGAGCATGTAGATGCCAGGGGGAGGGGGGGAACAATCTTTACGTGAACTATTTGGGTTGTTTTAGCCTCGGTATCCCCTTTTGGTTGGTTTTAAGGGGAAAACAAAAGAAAAACCGAAGCCATTTGAGGGTTCCCCAATTTGAACACCTACTGAAAGTGTACCGCCAGAACTGCGCCTGGCTGGCGTCACAAACGCAGTCAGTCCTAAACTCTGGAAAGCTGCGGAAAGATAAGACCAAAATAAATTGGCATTGCGCCTTTCTGTGTTCTATGACAAGGCCCTTCGTGCGCTAGGATTTGCAGAAAATCCCCGCGGCTTCACTTGGTTTGTGGCCGTGACTTCCGGAAGTCCGCGCAACTTCATGGGCAAGTGCCTGTGAATAAAAAAGCTGAATCCACCGTAAATAAGACACACAGTGCGACATGTTCGGGCTCCTTATGTTTGATTACTTCACTGGGAATTCTGGTGTTGAAAAAGACCACTGTAAAGCGCGTGAACCAAGCCACACCATCATATTCCCTTGTTGGTATGGCGTGTATATGCATAGAAAAAGGGCAGCGTTGTTTCAAGTGAAAACGGCGGTGTTGCTTCAAGGTTAGGTTGCGCCTTTTCCGCTTCCAAAGAGCTGGCCATTGATGGATGGCCGGTCAAAACCCGTGGTGTCAATGGCCAAAGACCATGGAGCACCCTAAGTATATGCGCATGTCTTTTTGTTGACAGCACCTTTCTAAGGTGAATTCAAAGGCAACTAAAGGGAAACCCACCTTTTTGGGGGTCCCCCATTTTAGAAAAGACACACCCACATGATATTTGTTTCCAGTGGAGAATGTCGGGACGATGAGTGATTTGGCGAGGGGATTCGCAACAGTAGCTCATGAAGCAAGGGATATGAGCTACGGTCACGGGACTTGCTCGTACCGCATAAGCTTGCATCACACGTATTTCAGGGACACGTGATGTTTCTCCTTGGCCATTCCTCCCCACATCCCAAAAGCCATGGATGGGGTCTTACCCACCGCACACCTGGGTCACCAACTCGCCGGTACCCGGAAACCCAGCAAAACTGGGGGTTGCCTAGGGGAACAGACAAGGGCCGTGCCCCTCAATGTCTGGTTGGGCACCAAACCCTCCATTTCCCGGGTCAGCATGATTTTGAGCTCTCCCCGTTGGTCAAACAGACTAAGTGGAATTCCCCGTTTCGAGTCGGGAACCAAAATCACTGAGTCCTAAAGTAGTCTAAGCGAAACCGTGCCAACAAAGGGCATCTTGCCCCACCTTCACTTTCCTCTACCCGAATTGGCTTTTGACAAAGCGCAACAGATTAGCACAAAAGCCACCAGGGCCCGTCCAACAACCCAACAAGCCCGACCCAATGCTTGTGTCGATGGCCCTGAATTCGAAAGAAACTGAAAACTGTAGAATCCATTTACTTTCTCCAGTCGCTGACAAAACGCACACTGAACAACAGTGCAGGCTTGTGTGCACACCTTTGGATGTCTTTGTTGACCCCCCCCCCCCCGGCCCCCCGGCCCCCCCGCCCCCTACCCCCCCCCCGCCCCCTGCCCACCCCCGCCCCCTACCCCCCCCCCCCCTCCCCTGCCCCTCCCCCAACTCCACCCCCTGGCCTATGATGGCCACATCCACGACCTCCTCCGCCACCGAGGCCCCCAGAGTGCCGCCCATGGCGAGAAAACTCCAGGCAGAGGCCCGGGGCAAAAGTTGTTAAAACCGGGGGTCCCAGGGACGAGGGGGATCTCCACATAGGTGTCCTGTTGCAGTTCATAGATGGCTGTGGTTGTCAAAACCGTTTTGGGATCCCATTTTTGGTTGGTAGGTACACCGCCCATTTTAGAGCCTATTTTAGTGGTTGGATTGGGATGTTCGCTGGCGGGATTTTGATCCATGGCCAGATGGCCCTGGTAGAGTACACCAATAGGTTTAGGGCCAAATTAATGGGACATCGAGGGTTCCCGATGTGTTTCCCCTGTCAAACCCCGAGGAAGAAAAAAAACTTACGACTCAAACAGCTCCAGGTGGTTGAACTCACAAGGAAAGGAAGGGAACCCTGTCCCAGGGCGGAACGGCGGAACCTTACGGCCGTAAGCCAGGTGACACGCAGAAGCATCCGGAAGCGAAAAAGTTGATTCTTTGGTTTCCGGCGAGGCCAGGTGCCATTGCAAGGATCAAGCAAGCAAGCAAGCAAGCAAGCAAGCAAGCAAGCAAGCAAGCAAACGAACAAAAAAACAAACAAACAAACAAACAAACAAGAAGGGTAACACGGAACAGTGTTGCAAGTGCTGCAGGGGGCAGCTCAATTGGGATCCGCAATCTCGTGACGCATACTCTGCCTTTGTGCTTGGCTTCCACGGCTGCGGAGCCAGCAATGCGGTCACGGCCGAAACTTTGTTGGACATGTTGACGTGGACCAAACAAATAGGCCAGATCCAGAACCATCCCCCTTTCCCCGAGATAGTCGAATCATGGTTGACCATGGCTCGCTGGGAATAGTTTGGTTGCTTGTTGTCGAAAGGTTGAATGGCCCGGCTGCTTGAAGCTGTGTTCGCTGACTTGGCTCAAAGAATGATACCCAAAATGGCACCTTGGTACGTGGAAACAAGAATTGAAACCTGCGTAACAACAGCTGTTGAAAGGGGCGATCTTTCTTCAGGGAAGGAGGCTTGCACGCAAGCTGAATAGCCCATATGATAGTTTAAGCCACAAGCGGATGTGTCTGGTTTAGTCTTCCCCTCTTTGCGTTGCTCCTTCTGGGCAGGCCTCTTTCGGTCCCTGCACTTCCAACCTAACAGAGAAAGGGCCAAGGAAGTGGTTGGAATCATAGGGAAAGTATGGGTGTTGCTCAAAATAGGTTCCCCAAATGGGTTGCCCTGGGAAGCGGAAAGGACCTACACGTGCGCTCCATATGGACATATGGGGCCCCATTCTCTCCAAAGATACGGAACCCACAAAGCCGATTTCCCGAAGAGGGGAAACCCTGCCCGTTGCCCAAGCAAAGGAGGGAAATTATGGGTGGCTCGCTTTTGACGGATTTGGAACCGGTTTTTGATAAACACTACAACAACAAAAAGCGCGAGAATCGGGCGAGGCCTGCCAGGAACTTGCCCAATGGTCGCTTCTTCTGGTGTCCCAACCGCCCGCGCAACGGGTGGTTGCCATGTGGCTGGTCTTTTATTGGCGTTGGAATGCCCCACATGGCTTCGGTCTTCCTCTTCCCTTTGAGAACCACCCAAAACTGGGCTGCCCTCAAATCCCCCGCTAAAAGTGACCGACTTTTTGTGGGTCAAATGGAAACGGCTGGGAGCCACCACCAAAAAAAAGGTATCCTCCAAAAAACCAAAAAGACGAGCCACCCATTTTGAGTAGGGTGGGGCAACCCATTGGTTTAAACATGTTTAAACCACTGGTTCTGATGATACTTCCCTTGTAAAGGTGGTGTTTAATAGCCATATTTTGCCCCACCCAGGTTTTGAGACCTTTGCCTCCAAGGCCCCCGCTGCCATCCGACTCCCCGTCTTCTCCAGCGCTAGAAAACCCAACTCCTCGATTCCTCGAGTCACACGAAAGGTATGTACCCTCCAATCCTGGAAGCTGACGATCGAAGGGTGTTGGAAAACAATATACTTTCCTTTTGGGGAAGCCCCCTGTCCATTTCCATGATTGTTGGATAGAGGGTACGCGTTTCACGCGCTTCATTCTTGTCTTTTCACTTGAGAACATCTGGCGCTCGCCAACTTCCGCGAGCATGTGTTTTGTTTTTTCCCCGGAAAAGCTTGCCAGCTGTGATTCAATGATAACCAGCTGCAAGTTGACCTTTGAGCACTTCTGTCAAGCACTTCGCGAATTCGGCCCATAAACGGCCCATTTTAGGGGCAGGGAACTGAAGCATCTGGCGAAAAAAATCACAAAGTTCCAGGATCAAACATTTGTCATTTCAAGGCGGTGGGATTCTACGATTCCCTGGAGAAAGGACCTGCCTTCAGCCTCTTGAGCTTTTGTTGTACCATGGAGAGAAGGAATTGCCTGGCGTGTTGCAGGATTTCCCTCCGACCCTTCGGCCAAAGAAAGGCCCCCTCCAAAAGTATACAAACCTGCCGGGTGCCCCTTCCGATTGACCGCAAATGACGAGATGCCCACAAGATTGGGTGACACAGGAAACCAGGTAAAGCGATACAACGCATATCTTAGCAAGATACTTCACTCCGTACAGGAAAGCTGACCCGAGACCCAAAAGGCTCGGGAGAGACCCGCCCAGCCCCAAGGCCAAATGTGAAGCATGCGCTTCGACCTGTAGGCCCCTCTCTCTGCGAACAGATTCCTTCTCCTTGCGTTCTTTTCAGAAACTGAAGAAAGGATCCCTGCGAATGGAAAGCGCCAAGAGGAGAATGTCTTCTCCAAAAATATGGGTGTTTTCTGGGTTCCATGTTCTGAAACCTGAAACCCCCCTTCTGTCGAAATCTTTTGAAGCCACCAACCCCACCCCACCACCTCTGTCGAAAGACAGCCAACCCCCTAGCCCCAGCCCCAGCCCCAACCTCGTCTCCGACTGGGCGGCCGAGCGCTGGAGCAGCTGCTTCTCTCCCACCTTCCGGGAGGTGGACCGAGACCTAAGACCGCGGCCCGAGCGGCTCCGACTGCCGGAGGTCTGTCCTAGGTCCTCCAGATTTGAGAGCTTAGAATGAGTTGGGGCCAACTGTTTTTCGGTTTGGTCGATTTTAGTAAGGGAACCCATCCCCAAAAAAAGGGTAAAGGGAACTATTGGGGGACCCAGCCACATATTTAGTCGACCCTAAAAATATAAACTGGTGTTGATTTGGAAACGCGAGGTATCCCAGTTGACTCAGTTGACCGGGTTGATTTAAAAAAAAAAAAACTCCCATTCAAGAGATGCGGATCACTTTTGGGGAACCCTGACAATATCCCGGCCAACCGTTGAATTGGGCTCCGATCGCAAACCTGAGAGTTGCGTCCCATCGCCCATGGCATAGCGCCCTCAAAAACGCGCCACGTGAGGTCCGAACCGTTCACCTGGGCTCCCAACCGTTCCCACAACAAAAGGGCGCAGTGGTCGCCTTAGGAAGCCCATCCAATTTTGAGAACTCACTCGGGCATCCTCCCAAGTGCGCGACGGAAACCGCTTTGGTGGGAACCAAACTTGAAAATTGTGTTTGTGTGTTGTTGTTACGTTTGTGATAAACACCCAAATCCCAATGGTTTGTATTCAAAAGAAATGATGCAAACAAAAAAGGATTGCCCTCCATACTGAAAACACTTGCCAACAGTGAAAATAACCATTTTCCAGGGAAGCTTCCCCGTTCTTTCCAGGGATCCTTCTTTTCAGCAAACCATCAAAAACTAACTCAGGGAAGCTGCAATCGGATTTCGAAAAGAAAAAACATGGTTGATGAGAATGCAAAATCGAAGCCCTAGACTTTTTTCAGGGTTTTTCGGTTTCAACCACCCCTCCACCTCCCAAGTTCTGCATCGCCTCGCTCGCTCGTTCCCTTGCCGAGACCCGCCGGGCCGAGCGGCGCCCGCGCGAAGAGCCGCGCCAGCTCCGCGCGCCGCGGAGCCGGCGCCGAGAGCTGGGAGACCAGCGCGGGGCCTGCGGCCAGTCCAGTGTTGGGAATGGACCATGTGGGGATTTATCCGGAAAAAAAGGAAATAGGGGATGGCTTATAGGGGTTAGCCCTGAAAACACACTCAGGCGCTGGGAATGCACCGTTTGGGGATTCCGAAACTTGAAACCGGTTGGTTCTTCGAGAGGGATCCTTCCCAAATTCTCACAAACTGCGGGGCAGCAAGACATCGACAGGTGTTGTTTTTGGTTTGACCGGGGAAACCAAAGGAAAAGCCAAAGGAGCGCCCGGGTCCCAACAACTTGCAACTGCTTTTTCAATCATGTCCAAAATCTCGTTTGTACTGTCCCAGAAGCAGTGGTTGGGGGCAGGGGGTTGCAAAGGAGCAACCTCGAGCTGTCCATTGGAAGAGTAGATGTCACTCGCAATGATTAGAACCAACCCGAGTTTGGCGATGCAAACCGTCTTTAGCTCTCATCCAAGGCCGCCTAGGGAGAAGTTGTCCTGTGCCCCTCGGTAGTAAAAGAGACCCGTTTTGGGAAACCCAGCAAGGGGAAAATGAATGCTCGAGCAAATGAAAAGCGCCAACCTATTGACTTCTGGTTCTACCAAGGTGGTTGCAAAGATCTACACTGGCCGTGCTATGACCACTCATGCAACCGTCTAGAACCGTCTGGTTTTAGCCATCCATCTATCCCAGAAAAAAAGGTGTTTTTCCCCAACAGCTGAAAGCTGTGGGGTCTCAGCCCAGATAGGCTCCGGGGTGGTCCGCGGCGGCCCTGAGGTAAGGTTCCACGAGGGTTCCACCAGGGTTGCACCAGGGTTCCACGAGGGTTCCACCAGGGTTCCACGAGGTTCCGCGAGGGCTGCGGGGTGGTGCGAGCACTAAAAAGAGCACCGCATGCTGTTGGAGATATCACCAGAGCTAATTTTTTCCCAAAGGACATCTGCTATACAACCTGGGCTTATTTAGGAATCGGACCCCCCGCCGCCCAAAATGGCATAACACGGTGTTCCTTTTGGTTTGCCGGAAAAAAAAGGGGGGGAAACAAAAACAAGCCAAGGCCAAAATCGCCTTTTGGGCCAATGCAAAGGGAGTTTCCTCTCGGTTCCCCCGATTTGCGAACAACCGATTCCCAAAAGGGTCATTTGAGTAGTATCCCCGGGGAAAACACCACCAAACGGAGCCAACTCAAACCCCCCGCCTTTGCTGGGTTTCAGTGCCGGCGTCCCAACACACCTGGCAAACAAAAACAGATGACAGGATCGGGGGGTATTGGACCTGTCTTTTGGGCCAATCATTTTTAGAATGGGGTTGTTGGGGAATGAAAAACTCTCGAAAAAACCAAACTCAGATACGATGCGGGTGAGATCCCGACCTTGTGCAACCCGAATCTGTGAACCCAAATGACCAAGAAAGGACATCATGACTATGGCTCAAACAGCGGAGTTTTTGGTTGAGTGGTGGATCCGAGTTGTTGCTTTGAATGAAAATGCCATGTGCAAGTTGGGCAGAACATCGTGCTTCAACTTGTGGATGTTGCCAACCATCTTCAGCAGGACCATCCAACATGGTAACCTTTTTTGCCCACCGAAGTCGCCCCCTCGCCCACCCTTGTTGCCCTATTTCTGACAAACCGAATGGAAGATTCACGCGTTCACCTGCAACACGTTGCTTGTATGAAGGCTTCGCGCTCACGTGCAACACCATTTTGGTGGTTCCCTCTATGGAAGGGGGCCGATTCGATTGCATGAGCAAAAGGGAACAAAAGGGAACCCCCCCCATTTTGTCACAAGTTTGTCTCAAGAAGACCCACCAAAATGGTGGTTTCCTTTTGGCTTCCCTGAAAAAACGACAAAAAGAGGCACCCTCTCCCCTAACATGGCACCTCACAGGGACCCGGTCCCTGCAAGAGGAAAATGAACTTCCACTGCCTCCCCACAGGTGCCATGGCAACGTGGGAAAGAGAGGTACCCCCAAAGAAAGATTCCCATTTCTGGGATTCCCTTGGAGCATTTCTTCTTTCTCCCACGCCAAAAGGGCCGCTCGCACCCACGGCAGGACACGTCCAGGAACGCCTGGCGGGCGAAGGGCCAGCCGATCCCCAGCGTCATTTTGGTTTGCTCCCCCCATTGTAATGCGGTTTTCTCCCCCCCCCCCCGCCATGTTCTTCAGGGAGCCATGTGCTCCAACCCTTGCAACCGACGGCCTCTCCAATCACTCTACCAGTCACTTGCCGAAGCTGTTCCATGGGAGTCCTTATGTCCACACAGCCCAAGCTGAGCTTGGGAACAGGACGCGAAACACCTTAGCCATCACTCCCTGACCAATGCGAAATGAAGCCTCCAAAGTGAGTGGCTGGTTTACCTTGAAACCACACTTTACAAAGGGTATAGCCTCAATAACGACATCTGAATGGGCCTGCATTACGTGTCTTGCGTGATACTAAATTCGCTATACTTTGCTGGATGTTTCCTTGTGGAAATGGGTGATCCCTCATTTGAACCCTCAACCCTCAAAACGAGTGGCTCCCCGTTAAGCAACACAAAAACATGGTCGCTTCCAAAAGAAAAGGAACTCAGCTCCATTTGGGTGTGTCTGATTTTAAGAAAACCTAATTGGTGATTTCCTCTGAGCTTCCCTTTAACAGGGATCCTTACATTATACACCTGAACATTGCAACTTGTAAATGGCGGTTTCCAACTCTATTTGGGTGTTGAAAAAGCCACACGTAACTCAAATGGTGGCAAAATGGCTCGATCTTTTAATCTTCTAAGGAGCCCTGTTTAAGATATGTCTTTTAAGGAGCTTCCCTTTGAGACAAGCCCAAAACCGATGGATACGGAGCACGCCGAGTCACAGACCAACCCCACCGGATTCCCCGCCTGGGGATCGCTCTCGCCGCGAAGCACCCGCAGCCGAAGCTTCGGGGACCTGGCGAAGCTTTCCCCCCGAAACGGGGACTGGTTGGAGCGAGGAAAAAAAAAACGCCAAGGCGGATCTTGCACAATTTGCCTGTGGTTCAAGAATGGGGTAACCATATCCAAAATGGCTTGCCCTGGAAAAGAGAAACATGGACTCAAATCTGCGGTCCATATCCTGGTGGCTTTATTATGTCCTGTTATGCCGGTCGGTAAAACGGATGACTCAACCATGGGTCCCGAAGTCCTGAGTGGGATCCCGGGCAACCAACCTTTTTTCCGACAAATTTCTGCCTGTGCCCCAAGTCTGGGAGGCCGTTGGAACAGCGCTGGAACCGCCGTTTTAGGCACTAAGATGAACATCCCCACGTGGTAGGACGCTAGTTCTATACCCCAACGGGTGGCTCGTCATTGCTTTTTTTCCGCCCCTTTCTGTGAGGCTATGGGAAAGCAAAAGGAGAAGCAACCATTTGGGGGGTCCGCCGAAAAAAGACGAGCGCAAAAGAGGACGAAGCCTCCCAGCGACTAAAGAAATTTCCCTTCCAGAAACCCAGTTTCCCAACACGGCGCAAAACGGGGCTTCCTGATTTGAGACACCTCCGTCTCTAACCCAAGGCAGAGTTCCAATGCCCGCCTGAGGGGAACACCGGACTGCTGTCTGAACATTGGAAGCCGCTGCCCAGGAATTGAACCAGATTTGAAGGCGTTCACCCAGCCATTTCCAGAGGTGTAGCGTAACCTACAGCCACTCTACCGGGCGGGATAGTGGAAACCATTTGGCCAGCGGCTGGGGACCGAAAGGAGCAGAACAGCAACCACTCAGGTTCGGAAATCGGAAGCGAACCAGGGGATCCTTTCCCGCTGGAAACGTCCACGGCGTGAATTCGGGGACTTCTTGGTCATCTTTTGCGTCACAGTCAACGCCTGGTACTCAAAAGGTCTACCGTGCAACTTCTGGCTTCTCCGGTCCTTTGTTCGCTTCAAAGGCTGTAGCTCACAAAAGAGTACCAAAAACGGAGCCCGGGAAAATGGCACCAAAGACCAAACCTGCGTAACCCCAGCTGCTTCATCTTTTCAGTTTGGAGCCACACCCAAAAGCCGCCCGGGAATTCTCGCCGTCGCCGCCTCCGCCAGAGCTGCTGGTAGAAGGCCTTCAACACCATGGGCGCCAGGGCCCCAGGCAGGCCATACCTGGGCGTTTTTGCGCGGAGGACCCAAAGGCTGGGCGAGTGGCGCGTCCTTTTGCCGAGGACAACAAGATGAGAGGGTTCTCCGTTTGGCTTCCGCTTAAAGCCAAGCGAAACGAGAAAAACCGGTGGTTTTCCTGGTTGGTGTCTCCTTAAAGCCAAGCGAAACGAGGGAAAAAGCATGTGGTGGTCCTTTTGGTTTCTCCTTAAAGCCAAGCTAGAAGGGGATTCCCTCAAAAAACAACTTGCAATATGAAACTCTGCCAGTGTCCAACGGCGCAGGCCATTCGCACCTTGGAGTCCAACCACACCAGCCATGTGCAAGCCCGAGGCATCAGCAATGTGAGCATGGCCGGCGAAAGGCGCAGACATGCAGCAAAAAATGTGAAGGATTCCCGGGACACCCTGACATGTTGCTTTCAACTCTTAACATGCGCAAAAATGATATGGGGTCTGTACATATGACTACACATACGTAAGACTTTGAATCACGCGAGGAACGAGGAAAAAGGAAAATAGGAAAAAGGAAAGAGGAGCGAGGAACCAGCAAAAGGGAAAAGAGGAAAAAGGAAAGACGAAAAGGACGAAAGGACGAAAAGAGGAAAAGAGGAAAAAGAGGAAAAAGAGGAAGAAGGGGAAGAAGAGGATCAAAGGAAAGAGGAAAAAAGCTGCCAAAAAGGCGACAAAAAAAGCCACGCGGGGCTTCTTCTACTTCACGAAAGTTGGCTCCGACTTTCTCTGTGTGCCTGGCTCTGAAGGCTGCTCCAGCAGGTATCTGGCGGAACAAAACACGGGCGGGGGCTCAAGGGGGTCGATCTGAAAACATTGCTGGGTGTGTTTTTCTGGTAAATGGAAGAAAACCTATTTAAATTGGTGGAACCCATCTATCTTTATCCAAACTAACCTACAAAGGACACCTATGCTCGTTCTTGTTAGGACTTGGACCGGGATTTCGGCCTTTCTGTCTTAGCTTCCCTCTACCATCCCACCCAAAAAGGGGGCTACCCTCAAAGAAGGACACGCCCATAAGTCAGGACACCCTTTTTCAGGGAGGGCAAGGACCCTTGTGGTATGTACTAAGCCATCTGAGACTTCTCTTGAACTTGAAGTGGTTGGAGTCCTTTTCTTGCTCTCCTTCTCTGCCCCTCAAATGGCCACCTTTTAGCATCATTTCCCGTAATAGTCTACTACTCTGCACTCAAACAACATGAGCAAATCAGTGTTTCAGCCCTGAAGAGGTCGACGCTTTTCCTTTTTGGGGCGTCCAAAGATTGTAAGCAGGGGTGCTTTGAAGCTTGTTTGCAGATATCAGAAAAGCCAATTTCGGCGCTTCAAAGGACCAAGGGACCACGATGCACTGGGAGTGCTGAATCTTGGTCCCTTGGTCCCCGCTTTGAAGCTTTCTGGTGGCTTCCCTAGTGTTCACTTTGGCAGATACCCGCAGGATGATCTGTGTTTTTTTGTAGCTGTTTGTAGCCTTGGTGGGCAAGTCACACAACGATTTGTGGTGTTTTTTTGTAGCCGTGGTGGGTAAGTGCGTGCTCACACAACATGGGCCAAATAGGTGCCATCATATTCCCGAAACAGAGCACCGACGCGTTTGAAACACCGTCTTCCAGGTGCAACCTCAGAACAATATTCACCAGTCAGTACCAGTTGTTCTTTCAAACCAAAAAGCCGACCAACTTTACCTTGAGCAACTGGAACATCTCTTTGGCCCGAAGCAACTGTCACAGCCCTTGGCCGCATCTCGTTTCGTGATAGCCGTTTCCGGCCTGAAATGGCGATCTCCCTGGCTTTCCGGCTCTGCGAGTCGCTCCAGCCTCGAAAAGTTACAAAGAAAGTAGGGGAGATCGATCCAGCCGCTCCCGGCGAAAGAAGCGCTCGATCAAGAAACCGGGTCCCTCGGTTAAGGCGGTTTTGAGAGCGTGGGAACCCCAGAGTCACCCTTGTACCTCTTGGGAAAGAAACATAGAGGGGCTTCCCGGGAAACGGATGCCACCAAACGCATCTAAACCAGTGGAATCCATCTAGTTCAAACCCAGCTACCTAGAAAGGAAAGCCTGTAAAAGGTTCACCCCTACCAACCCAAGTACAGCGGGCGGCAAAGTCAAATCACTTTTCTGGAGATTCCTCTCCGGGTCTCTGGCATTGATTCATTCCTGAAAGATCGGCGCGACTTCGCAAGCTGGTTGTTGGTGACCCCCAAAACATGTGGCTCTACCTTCGGTTTCCCTTCAACACCACGGCGAGAAAACAAACACAGACTTGAACTGCCTGTAAACCATC